TTTTTTTGCTGTAAATAGTTTTTATATCGTAGATCAAAACTTGATATAATTCTATATTTATAGTATTTATATTTGTATTAAACGATTTATCAATTTGAAAATAACCTTAATTAAGTTAATATTCGTTGTTTAAGTTTCATTAGATAGGCTTTTATATATGGTTTTTTGTAAGTTTGAGTTTTGTTCATAAATGATGTGGTATTTTTATCTACGGCGTCATCGACTGTGGGAATCCATTCGCCGGAGTCTGAAATCGGTGGTGAGGAATGTTTTCAAGGAAATTATAATAGTTATTAAAATGTAAGAGAAATTATATATTCATTTAATAAATAACGAAAATAATTAATTTTTGTTGTTTTATTTTATTTTATCTCACATACAAATTTTTTGAAAAAATATATTAGGAAATATGTGCAATGATTTAACTTTTTGAGCTCCTAATCTATATTATTCAACCCTCATTAAGCCATCCACGTATGCACCCGCGTGGAATTCACTTTTTTTTGTTTTTTTTTTGGTTTGTTCGTTTTTGGATTTAATTTTTATTACTTTTGGGTTGAGCTATATTATAATATGATAGTTTTAAGGTTCTTTAAGCCATCCGCGTAGGCAACCACGTGAGACTTGCTTTTTTTTATTTTTTTTTATTGTTCGTTTTGGATTCATTTTTAACTATTTTGGGTTTGAACTTGTTAAGGTTTAGGGTTTATACAACTATTTTGATCTTTAAAACAATAAGCCAAAAAAAAAACATAAGAACCTTATAAACAAAAAGCCCATATGATAATAACCTAAATAAAAAAATCAAAAATACATGATAGCTGCGTGGTTTGAACCCATAATCTTGCATACTTAATTAGACACCTTATACTACTTGACTAAAGTGTATTTCATTGTTTGTAAGCATCTTACCAAGACTATGTGTGTTTAAAAAATATATAGCATGAGAGCAGTGGGAATTGAACCCATGCCCTTGCAGACCAAACATGGAACCTTAGACCACTTGGCTAAACTGATATTCTTTGTTTGTAGCCATTTTAAAAAAACTATCTATTTTAATATAAAAATGTGGGACTCACAATATGCCTATGTGGACACCTTAAGGAGCTTTTAAAGTGTATCATTATAATATAGATTGTAAAACTGATTCAACGAAAGATGTACGATTAAAAGCATAGTACAAAATGAACGTATTTAATCTAAAAAGTTGTGAATGTCGAAAGATCATTTAATTTTGTCTCAAATTGCAGCATTCTGTTAGAAAACAAAAGTTGTTAAATCAAATATTATGTAAATATTCTAATGATCTTTTATATTAATCCAATGATGAGATGTCTAATACTAGAATAATTGTTGGTTATTTCAGGAAAGCACATGTTAATAATGCTAATATATAACAAGTGTTAGTTATTAAACTACAAATTGTGCAAGGGTACAAAAACAAAACGCCAGAATGCTTGTTTGGACCATTTGTTTTGTCAACTGCTTGCATAGCTTCTTTTTTATTTTTCTTATACAACTAACAGCGAATAAACAAAAATAGAAACGACACTAATCAAGCTTCTGTTACATTAAATAAATTGAAATGATCAAAAACATTAAGCATAAAACTTTTTGTGTCGTTTTGCTAATTTTTAAAGGCTACTGATCTTTGTAATTGTGACGTAAGTGGTTAACATTGAGTAATATATATGAAGTGGTAAACAAAAGTCTTCGGAAGAAATCCAAAATATTCCATGGAGAATATCAAAAACCCTAAAAACTCGGATGATGATTCCGATGGCATATCGAGAAACATTCATCAAAGGGTTGATAATAATCCTCTGTCAAGATCTTACATAATAATACTCTGTCAAGCATATATATGGTATTTTTATATAAAAATTTAATAAATATTTATAAGATTAGAATTTTATTTACTCAAATTTTTGTTGGATTGATGAATATGTAAATGTGTAAATAGTAGATCATTTAAATGGATACCTAGAATTGAACTAAAATCAAACCGAACCTAAACCTCATAGATATCTATTGGATAAATAAATGATTTATCTGATATATCCAGAACCAAATGATTACTATCCAAAATCGAATCGAATAACCGAATGTGCATGCCTACCGACAATAATAAGGCAAGAAAAAAGAAAGATAATAACCAACAAGACGACTGGTCTGTTCGGTTTATTATTTGAATCAATCCGGCTGGGATTAACATTTTAAAACAGAACCGGATCGATCATGTTAAAATTGAACAAGTGCCAACGAAGACCAGAACACGATCCTAAAATCCTCTGCATCGTCTCTATCGCTGATCTCTTCCTTCACTAAGAAATCTCTTTACATCTCTCTCTCTCTATCCATATTTCTCGATTTTCTCTTCGCCGAAGCTCATAGCGTGGTGAACCACGGCGGAGAGATGTCTCCAAACGATCCCAAAAACTCCGGTGGCGGCGGGAGTGGTTTCTTCGCTTCTATTGCTTCCTCAATCTCCAGTTTAGGATCAGCTATGACCAAATCAGTTAACGGGTAAACGTTTTGAAATCTACTAGATTCGTATGCTAATATCAAATTCGTTTTGACTCTGTTCCTACAAAGTCTGCTTCTTTAATTCAAAAAGATGCAACTTTTACAATTAGGGTTTGCTTAAAGTTTAGCTCTTTTTTTGGAATTAAAGCTTAACGTTTTTTTTATTACATTCTCACAGTTTGGTTGGATATGAGGGACTTGAAGTAATTAACCCTGAAGGAAGTACTGAAGATGCAGCGGAGGAAGCTAACAGAGGAAGATGGAAGCAAGAGGATCGAGATGGTTATTGGAAGATGATGCAGAAGTATATTGGATCTGATGTTACTTCAATGGTGACCCTTCCTGTTATTATTTTCGAACCAATGACTATGCTCCAGAAAATGGCGGAGGTTTGTGCTCATGTTTTGTTCTTGTCTGATGGTTTTTTTTGTGATGCTATGATAAGTGCTCTGTTTCTGACAGTTGATGGAATACTCGCATCTATTAGACATGGCAGATAAAACGGATGATCCTTATATGCGTATGGTGTATGCGTGTAAGTACATTTCTTCCCTTCTTTTGATTGATTTCTGCTATGATCAGTGTCTGTTTATGTAGTGGCTGAATTGTTAGAATTGAACTTTTAACAGCATCATGGGCTATCTCTGTGTACTATGCTTTCCAACGGACGTGGAAACCGTTTAATCCAATACTTGGAGAGACTTATGAGATGGCTAATTACAATGGTGTTAACTTCATATCTGAGCAGGTTAGAGCCATTTCTTTTTTAGAACTCTCAAATAGTTGTATCTTTAGTTCTTTTAGGTGCCAAAGGTTGTTGACACCAATAGTCTTATTCTCAGGTCAGCCATCACCCGCCAATGAGCGCTGGTCATGCTGAAAATGAGCATTTCACTTATGATTGTACTTCAAAACTGAAAACAAAGTTTTTGGGCAATTCCATTGACGTTTACCCAGTAGGAAGGTACAAAACCACAAGTGTATCTACTGAATTAACATTCTTCATTTGTTCACTATCCTGAACCTTAAATGTGATGAATGAATATGTGGTGCAGGACACGGGTGACACTTAAAAGAGATGGAGTGGTTCTTGACTTGGTACCTCCTCTGACCAAAGTTCACAACCTAATCTTTGGACGAACTTGGGTCGATTCTCCTGGGGAAATGATCATGACCAACCTCACCACTGGTGACAAAGTCGTGCTGTACTTTCAACCATGTGGTTGGTTCGGGTAAGTTACCTTTAACGCAACCTCATCTTCCTTTTTTCTTGTTTTTTTTTCACTTTAAGCTCAAGACATGTGCATTTACTGTCTCAACAGATCTGGTCGATATGAAGTAGACGGATATGTCTATGACGCCTCTGAGGAGCCCAAGATACTCATGACCGGTAAATGGAACGAGTCCATGAGTTATCAGCAGTGTGACGGTGAAGGTGAACCTCTCCCTGGCACCGAACTAAAGGAGGTTTGGAAACTTGCTGATGTTCCAAAGGATGACAAATACCAATACACACACTTTGCTCACAAGATCAATAGCTTCGACACTGCCCCCAAAAAGCTGTTGCCGTCTGACTCACGGTTACGCCCTGATAGATACGCACTCGAGATGGGTGACATGTCCAAATCCGGCAATGAGAAGAGCAGGTATGGTAACAAGAAACTTGTTGTTTAGGATCTGAACTGAAGTAGAGCTGATTCTCGTTCCACGTCTTGTTACAGCTTGGAAGAGAGACAGAGAGCAGAGAAGAGAACCCGTGAAGAGAAGAGCGAAAGCTTTACTCCCAAGTGGTTTGATATAACAGAGGAAGTCACTCCTACACCATGGGGTGATCTTGAAGTTTACCAGTTCAACGGAAAGTACTTAGAACACCGGGAAGCTGCGGATAAATCTGAAGATAACACCGACCCTAAGTCAATCCCATTCAACCCATGGCAATTCCAAGACATGTCTATTTAAAATGAATTGGTCCAGAATATATTTTGGTAACAGATGTTGTAATTCTTATTCTCTCGTAGTTTCAACAAACTATGCTAGCTTTCTTTGCTTTCTCTATTTTATTCAAATCACTCTTTCATTCATAATTTTCTTCTTAGTCCTACATCTGTTAAGTTAAACTCTGGGGGCTTCTTCTGGGGATATATAACAATCTTTTGAACGTGGAACCCAAGTTTGAACCAGTGTGTGGGATTCACAGACACAGCTTAGAAATGGAACTGAAGAGCTTGTATGATTGGTCTCATTAGAACCTTCATTGTAGTGCTGACGAGTACAAGTTGCTATGGAATTGCTATGCATATAGATAAAACAGATGACCTTAACACAAGTCTTCTCTCGTTTCTTTCACAAAGAAAAATACTTCAAATCATTAATGTTATTAATGTTGGAAAAGGGCTATATTCTTTTTCTTCAGAGAATCAAAGAGCTTTGCTTACATACTATAAAACTCTCCATATAAACACATATACTGAGAAGGGTCTGATTCTGATAAGAAATTATGAAAGCTTTGAATTATCTTACAAAGATGTCTTTGACACCTGTTAATTGGTACGTATAATAAGTATAATCACAGTTTGAGTTCTGTATCCACAACCCTAACTTCCTTCTCCTTTCTTAGGAATCCAAAAGAAAAACAGGGGAAATAATAATGAGAGATTGTGAACCATGTCAAAGTTTCAAACAGTCTCTACTGTTGATTAAGAGTTAGTCTTGGTTTTGAGCTGAGGCAGCTAAACTCCTGAATAGGATGAGCCAGAGTGCTGTTAAGTTGAAAGTCTGCTGCCTTTCCGACAAAATGTTGAGAAAAGATGATTAGGGTCATGTGCTAAGGTTTAGTTTCAGAAGAAACAGGGGCTGAATCAAAAGCTGTACGGAAGCGCAGACCAGAACCGATATGCCTTGATGTAGGGCAGAGCCAAGAAAGTATGTTCGGTCCCAAAATCTGAAAGAACAGTTAAAACTTTAACAAAGAAAAAAGCTATGACTGATACTAAGCATCTAAAGAAGATGAGAATTATTTACCAAGGTTAGGTTTTCATATGCGCCTATGTCATATGGATGCTTATAGACTTGTCCTCCTTTCTCTGCCAACCACATAGCTCTCACTCCTTCGTGGTACTGCTCAACTCCCACAACATTAATTAGCAGATGAAAACAAAAAACTAACTAGAGCTAAGAGGATCCATAGTTTAGCAACTGAACAAGAGAAAGAAAAAGAACAACCTCGATGGTTGTCTTATTTTGTAAACTAAGGTAAACGTGCCACCCAAGAAGAACACCTAACGCAATGCTCAAAGGAACAAGAACAAACGCTGAAACTACCTGAGAAAACAAATCATAAACATTAAAATGAGATTGGTTGGTAGTTTTTGAAACAAGTGATCATTCAAAATCATTACATATATAGTTCTTAGATAGCTTCCCATCTCTTCGTCTTCATCTTGTGGTTCAACAGTAAGACTCCCCACAAGCAAAACCTAAGAATCCAAAAGAATATTCATATAAGGCTCATATAGGAAATGTCCCAGAGAGTATGTAGAGAAGCTAGGGAATGTACCAGAGAGTATACACACGCGGACATCGCATAGACAACAAATACAAAGAAGACCTTGTAGTTAGTGTGTCCCACACAGTTATTGATCCAAATACAATGATGATCCTTCACATCAAAACACGATTGATTTTAAGATAATATAACATTGGTTTTGACTAAACATAAGTGTTGAGTTTAGAGAACAAATACCATTCTAAGCACACATCTTTTGCAAACTCTACAATGATGAGCTCGTGGAGGTTTGAAATGTGAACACTTTTGACAATACCTCAAATCTCCTCCCTAAAAAACAACATAACCAAAGCAACTAACGACACAAAAACTCAAAACTACATTCTCCAAAACAGAGCCAAGAACAGAGTTTCAATCGAATCTCCATCAAAGCTTCATCCTTTCAATATCCTAATTACAATTTTAGCTACAAAAACTAGACTCTCTCATACAGAGCTCACACATGGAATCTCAAAGCTTCAGCCTTTTACTGTTCTAATTACAAATTTAGCTACAAATCTAAAAGCTTTGACGGATAAAAGTCACCGAAACAAATGAGAGGAGACATAAAAGATGTGACCTTGCGCTTAATCTCGTGAACAGGACTCTCCGGATCCTCAACATCCGGCATGTAATTAGGCGGGACCCGACCCGGATCCCTGAAAACCGCGATGGAGTAGCTGTAGACACACATCAGAGCCAAGGCCGTGAACACGGCGGCGTTGGCGATCCCGGGAGAGGAAGTGAGGCTGAACCAGCGATCGATGAAGGTGAAAACCGTTGAGAAGTAGATGAAGCCGATCACCAGAATCACCGCCGTGACGGGGAGAGAAAAGCCGAATCCTTTCCGTTTCATTTTTGTTGATTTTTTTTTCACCTCTTCCTCTTCCGGTGAAAAAAAAAGTTAAGACGGAGCACCGGCGTCGAAACGACGGCGTTTTGGTGACTGGATTTAAATTTTAATTGTTTTGTTTGTTTGTTGGTGGAGTGCGTTTAAAGTGTTGTGTATGTTGTCGACGAATCTCTCTAAACGTGATTAATTTATATAACGACCCCTTTGTTCTCTTATTTTTTCGTTTTTCACTCTCTTGTTTATATTTCACACCAAAAGGTCCTATTAACATGTCCCAGCAAGCAGCTAATAAGAAATTATCCCTTCAATTTGATCCGGATCTAAACAGCTCGCAAACATAAAATATTTGATTGATACATACTATTTAACTGCGACAGAAAGGATACTGAATTTTTTTGGATATCATTTTCGTGCAACATGTCCTAACAGCTATTTAATAAATTAGGCAATTTAATAATTACATCCGGCCATATCTGGTTTACATGGAAATATACTAGAGTCTCTAGTCATACTTTCATTTGCTAATGAATCTACACAGAACTCAAGCTTTCAAAATTATATTGCAAAATACAATATGATATTTGAAACAATCTCTTGAGGTGAAGACGAATTGGAAACAATCTCTTGAGGTGAAGAAGAAATTAGGCTGTGTATGTCATGTTTCAAATATGAATTTGACCACATAATAATTCATGATACAATAGATCACTGGCTAAAGCAAAACTTACTGTTATGATATTGGAACTAGTAGTCTTTCAAAGTTTCACAACTGTAGCTGTATTGCATGTCTCAAAATTCATTTAAGTATCTTACTCTAAAATTGAAAATCAATTTTCTAAAAATAATAATGCAAATCATTCTCTACAGTTTTTACTGTATTCCACATTTTTTCCAGTGTACCCATTCAACTCTTTTCTCCTATTAATTTTCCAATCGCAGAGTAAGTCCCGCAGCAACCACTTACAATGCCAGAGATGGTAATCAAAACGCATACTCCCATCTAAAAAATTTAACGAGACGAGTCAAATGAAATTATCATGCGAAAAATCCAAATATTTAAACAAAATAAGATTATATACTTACTTGTATCTTGCTCAATCTACCCCTCAAGATACTGAGATAACAAAGACATGGAAGTATAAAAGCCTGCACAGTAAGTAAAACCGAGTTATCTAAGAATCCATAATAGCATGTTTGATATGTCAATATAATAGTTGAAACTCTGCTCAAATGTTTTGGAGACTTACAAGCAGCATTGAGAGGAAGGATCCCATCAAAGCTCCCATGATCGCTGTGAAGTAAATTATTAGAACAAAGGAAATAAAGGTGGAGAAAAATAAGATAAGTTGTTGAAAATAATTTACCGAAGAATGGGAATGCAAGTGCGACCACCAAGGTAGAGAGAACTAAGATCGTTCTAAGAAACATTGATACTACATTGGATCTCATCTTTTCTGAAGACGGCATTAGTTCTTCTAAGCTTAGCACGATCGGTGTAAGAGTTAAGGCGTATTTAGTCATCGGAGTAATTACCTGAAGTGCGATTGACACAAACTATATAGTAACTATGTTGTATATATTAATATTTTATTTTGAATATTATTGAGACAGCACTATCAATTCTTATTATATGTAGAAGAACAAGACTATGTTTATCAAGTTTGATCTGTTTAGGTAAATACTAACCGCGGTCCAAGCTGCGATTTTAGATGACGTGAATTGTTGTGGCATGCTTAGCGTAAACTGCGACTGAATCGCCTCACCAAACATGCTGTAACCGCAGATCGCTACGCCTATGTAAAAGACTACGCAGAAACCGAAACTGCCAAAAAAAATAAAAAAAAATTTACCTAATTTTATTTACTTGTGTTGCAAGTAACTTAGAGCAGAAGGTTTACCCAGTGAAGAGCACCAAAGGAAACTTGGATGGATCTTTCATAGAAGAATATATGTTTGGGAAAACCGCATGTCCACTAAACCCAAACCCGAAGATCCCAATGGCTACAGGTAAGTTACTAAGATCCAGAGCTTGTCCACCTGAGTGAAACCCGACTCCATCAACAGACCCGACCCAAAAGAGACAAAGAGCTAACAAGATGGAAGAGAAGACTCCTCCAGCTAAGAGAATAAAACACATGAATTAGAGAATGACCAAATCTCAAATTAGTATTTGTAAGGATTATATGAAAAATGAAACCTGAGAGATATGAGAGTAAGCTTAGGTCTCTAAGCCAAACTGTAGGGAGAACAGCAAGAGCAGTTGCTATGGCAAACATCTGAGTAGAATCAAGAGATGCTCCAACGATGTTCACCGAAACGTTTGGGAAGAGTCTTGATAAGTTATCACTCATCATGATGATATACTCTACACAACATGCGTATAACTCCATGTACAAAAGTATCTACAACTCTCAAGAGATACATAGAATCAACCCAAGTTTTAGTTTGGAGATGTTATAAAAGAACTTTTAAAGTTGTATATGTAAATGGTTTACATATATAACTTACGGAGACGATGAGACGTCCAGTGAATCCAAAGGCAGCTTGACCGATGTCAGGATAGGTATGAAGGTCAGGGGAGCTATCAAGACATCTCTTGAGGAGAATACCTGTGTAGCAACTGATGATACCGAAGAAGAAAAGTATAATAAGCCCTAGCCATCCACCTTCTTTGACTGCGTAAGGCATTGTGAGTAGACTTACTCCACATAGGATATTGATTCCTGCATCACAATAGGTTCAATGGTGTTAAAATGTTGATTCTCGAGCGACTAATGTGCACTAGTAAAGATACACATTCCTTGGACCAGAGGAATGATTTTTTTTTTAGTATTAGAAAAACTGCTTTTAATTTTAATAAATAAAGAACTGATCCTAGATCCGGTTATTGCATTAATGTGTTTTCTTTTTAAGTTTTTTTTAAATATTTTCTTTGTGTTTGATTTGCGTTTGTTCACAGCTAAAAATATGATAAATGTCTGAACCAAACCGGATGCTTAGGCATTAGTTCTTAGAGCAAATTCGAAAACTATGTGTTACGTGTTGTAGATGCTTTGGACAGTCACTTTTTTTTCTAGAGCATTTTTCTAAAGCAATCAAACTTTACCTTTAAAAATTAAAGCTACGACAAAAAACTTAGAAAATGAAATATTTTAAATTTCGAAATCATTTTTTGTACAGTTTTTATTTAGTTCTTTGAAAATAAATTTACAGTAAACTAATCGAAGCTAATGCAAGAAAATCCAAAACTTATTTTTTAAAGCAAAAAAAAAAAAAAAACTAAATTACAGCACCGATCAATCAATCCCAAGAACTTGAGACATAGCCAAGGCTGATGTTAAGTCCTTACCGTTGAGAATGGATTGAGGAAACGAGCAGAGATTGTGTTCTTCAAATGGAAGATCGGTGATTGATAACTTGAGCTGAGATGAAACGAATGATTTGACCGAGGCATCGTCTTTATCAACGAGCAACGGTTGTTTGCTTGTGGAAGAAGTAAACGAGTTTAGAATAGAGTTTTGGCGTCTCTTGTATAAGGAAGCGAAGGAGCTTGTGAATGATGTCTGAGAGCCTCTCCGGTGAAGGAAACTGATCTTAGGAGGTGTAACTCCGGTTAAGATATCCACAGATTGTCTGAATTTCCAACAGAGAAACTTTATTACTACAAAGTACAAATCCTTTGAAATTATTACATTTTTGTAATGTAAAACAGAGGATTTGATTTTACCGATAACTTCGAGGCCATGGAGCGGAATCGTTAATTGATAACTGAGAAGACTTTGCGGAGATTTCATCTTCTTCATGACAGGAGGCATCGGCTTGGCTTTCTTCATCGTCTGACTGAAACAAAATGTCACTTTCTTGCTCCTCAAGCTTCATCTTCTCTGTATCTGATTTGAGTCAAGACAGAACAGAGGAAACACGAAAGAGATAACAGAGGAGCAAGATGCAAGACTGGAAGAAATCAAGAATGAGATCTGCTGCTATTTTTATTTGTTGTCACGTCGATCATATTATATAATAGTAATATAATCTTCTGGGTGTTATATTTAATTGTTGATTCAAGTGCAGGGAAAGTTATCGTTCACATGTCAAACCCTCAAAGTCAAATGTATAGAAGAAGTGATATGAATATGCTTGGAAGTTGGGATCCGTTGGTTTTGGTTTGGTTAATTCAGATTTTAGGATTTTTGGTACTATGCTTATAAATTCTATTTGGGGTTTACTAATTGTCGAGTTGAATTTGATTTCTTCCGAATTTGGTTTGGATTGGATTGTCAAAAATGCCTTAAATCGTCTTCATATATTTCAAATTTAATTAAAAAATAGTTAAACTATATAAAACAACTAAGAAATATTCAAAATAACAAATAAAACCAATTATACAAATATTTTAAATACTATAAATTATCTGAATTACCTTAAAATAAATAAAACATAAACATACAATATTTAACTAATTTCAGATATATTGAGATCCTAGTTTGGATTCAATTTGATTCAGATTATAACCAATCCCCAAAATGCAAAGTTTATAAGTTCTATTCAGATATATTTGTATAATAGTTCAGATTTAGTTTTGATTTCTTTGTTTAGGTTTAGGTAGGTATTTCAATTGAAAAATAAAAACTCGACTGGGGTGAAAACGCACCCGCCTAGATATGAATATGAACAACTACATGATATGTCCATAAGCCTGGGCATTTCGAGTATCAGTTTGATTCGGGTATTTCGGCTATCCGGTAGTTAAATAGGGGTTTAGAGGATTCATTTACGACTTGACATATTTTCGGTTTGATTTGGTTTGGATAGTTTCAGGTTTGGTTCAGTTTGGATGGTAAAATTAGGAACCAGAAAGTACCAAAAAAATATTTGGTTTTCATTGTTCTGGTTCCGGTTCGGTTAGTTCAGATAGTTAGTGTTAAATATCAGCCTATCAGGTATTTTGGGTAATATAGTGAATAATTACGATACCTCAGATTAAAATATTTAATAGTTTGGATTACTTTGGATATTTAGGATAAAAATATCTTGAAACTTTCGAATAGTTTGAATACTTTATAATAGGTCTTTAAAACTATTTTCGGATACTTTTAATAAAATTATAAATTATAAATATATATTAACTTATATACTATATATATAATTAATACTTATATATATTCGGGTACCCGTTCGGTTCTCGGTTTGATTCGGTTATTTTGAATATATAAATATATAAACATTCAGATATTTTAGGATTTCGGTTCAGTTTCGGTTCGATTCCGGTTATTTTGCATCAGGCTCGAACTGATGACTTCCACCAAGTCAAGGTGACACGGCCTAGGTCCCATCCTGATATTTTAACTTAAGGGGCCTTCAAAAGCCTACTATTGCTGAAAAAGTTGGGCTTGAGACTTAACCCCAATAAGATCAAAGACTCGTCATCGCCGTAGCTTCTCTGCTTCTCTCCCTTCAGAGGTCGAGGAGGTTTAAGGTTTTTACTTTTTAGAGTGTTTGTCTGCGGATAGTCTTTGGACTTATCTAAAACCAAACCTGCGATTCGCCTCCTCTCTGTCTTTAGTATTATTGCCAAAGTTTCGATTTTGTAATCTATCTTTGTTTCTTCTGCGAAATCGTTCTTCGATGGCAAAAGACGGACCTAATTGGGATGGATTGCTTAAATGGAGTCTCTCTCACGCCGACGGTACTCTACCAACTCGCCAGTTAAGGTAATGATTTCACTTTCTAGCTTCTTAGGTTCTGTCTCGTCGTTTGTCCGAGAATGTGTAGTTATATAGAAACTTTGTATGGCTGTGATTTGTCTTTCACTTGAGGTAAATTAATCTAGTGAGTGAATTCGAATCTGGGTATGTGTAAAGTTTGGTTCTTTCTCTCTTCACTTCAATTTATTGTTTTGATTACAAGCTTATGTAGTGAAAGAGGATATCTCTTTTCTCGTTCATAGTGTGATTGTTTCGTTGTTTTGATGAGACAGTGAGGAAGATAGGAAGTGGTTTATGGAAGCTATGCAATCACAGACTGTAGATGTAGTCAAACGCATGAAGGAGATTACACTCGTTATGAAAACACCTGAAGATGTTTTGGTTGATCATGGAGTCACACCTCAAGATATCGAAGGTTCTTTGCTTATAATACATAATTTGTTTATGGCCTATCTTTGTGTAATCTTGAGGGTGCTAATTTTTTTTTGATGTTCTGGTAGATTTGCTGGATGAGTTGCAGGAGCACGTTGAATCAATCGATATGGCTAATGGTAAAAAAAAAAAACTATCTCTTCTTACTCTGGAACTTGGTTTTGGTTAGCTCAGTTTTGAGTATTGGTTACTTAACTATTGTGTAGATCTTCATTCCATTGGAGGCTTGGTTCCTCTTCTTGAGTTTCTTAAAAACTCTCATGCTAATATTCGAGCAAAAGCGGCGGATGTCGTGAGGACGGTAGTTCAGAACAATCCTCGAAGTCAGGAGTTAGTTATGGAAGCCAATGGTTTGGAGTCACTGCTATCAAACTTCACATCAGACACAGATGTTCATGCTAGAACTCAAGCTCTCGGCGCAATATCATGTAAGCCTGATCAAAACCTTGTGTGATATTTTTGTCATATTTTTTTGTTGTGAACATCTACTAAAGACTAACTATGTTTATGTTTATATTATGTAGCTTTGATTCGCAATAACAAACCTGGAGTCACTGCTTTCAAGCTTGCCAATGGTTATGCTGGTTTAAGAGATGCTTTGGCATCTGATAGTGTGAGATTCCAAAGGTAAAGCCACTAAACTACTCTTATTCCTTGCAGCTTAGATTTCGAATCTCAAAGATTCTTGAATTGTTGCTCTACAGGAAAGCCTTAAACTTGTTGCAATATCTTCTACAAGAAGATGATTTGGACCGTAATATTGCCACTGGACTTGGATTCACCAGAGTGATGATTCATCTCGCGTCTAGTGACGATGCTGAGACAAGAGAAGCTGCTCTTCGTGTATTGCTCGAGCTTGCAAGAGAGAGAAAAGATGGTAGTGGATGTAGCAGCATAGAGAAAGACGATGAGAAACTGAGACAGCTTCTAGAAGAGAGGATCAAACTAATCAGCTTGATGTCACAAGAGGATCTCGTAACGGTTAAAGAAGAGAGACAACTCGTGGACTTACTGTGGAGGGTTTGCTACAATGAACCTTCTTGTTTGGGAGAGAAAGGGCTTCTTGTTCTTCCCGGTGAAGACGCGTTGCCTCCTGATGTGGCAAGCAAGCTCTTGGAGCCTCTTCTCAGAGCTTCTGCAGCACATGGTAATTCCACTGAGAAGAAAGATGAACCTGTGAAACTACTTTGACCAGCACCACAGGCAAGAACTTGAAGCTAAGTTATATGTTTTTGTTTTGTCCTGTAACATTTCAAAATTTCAGACAAAATACTCATAGATTTCAATGTGAAGAATCAATCTACTGTTTATGTTATGGCAAATTATAACTTTTGATGATTTGAGATCTATGTTACTATTGTTGATTTTGAGCTTAAGAACGTTCGAATTCAATTTTTGATGATTTGATATTCACAAATTTTCTTCCCAGTCTGAACTGGATAAACAAAAACAGACTCGATTGTATGTGTGGAAATAATCAGAATCAAAAAGTAAGGATGTTTCAGCAATTAATTTTGTAAAACTAGGGGGTATAGTGTAACATCTAAAAGTTTTGGGGGCAATTAAAGTAGGAAGCAGTACTTGAGGGGTATAAAAACTCAACCCTAGCTAAAAAAAATATCCCAAAAAACTTTTGCCTAACTCCTAGAGACCCGAGTTCGACTAACATCAGTTACATATCAGAGTAAAACTATCTCAAACACATCTCTCACCTTCGCCGCCTTCAGCCATCGCCGTAGCCTCTGCTATCACGGGTAAGTAAGTTTTATACTTTTATATATATATAATCACGCACACCGTTAAACCCTAATCCTCTCCACACTCTATCACCAAAATTGATTTTCGCCAGAAAACAATCTCATCTTCCTCTTTTGAAGCCTCATCTTTGAGTTTTGGATCCAATTGATTATTAAAGTTAGTAGCTTTCTGCGTTTAGGGGAGCCATGGTGTGGTGTAACCATTGTGGGAAGAACGTTCCTGGAATACGACCAGAAGATAGTGCACTGTATGTGTTTTTTCTTTTCTTTTTTTTTTGAGTTTTTCACTATGTGTTAGTCTAAAAAAATATGAACTTTTTATTTTTTTAATGTTGCAGGGCGTGTGATTTATGCGGGAGGATATTGGAGAATTTTAACTTCTCAACTGAAGTTACTTTCGTTAAGAATGCTGCTGGGCAGGTAAGAGTCAGACACTTCTGTTATTGAGATTCAGTTTCATGTTTTTTTTTTTTTAATGCAAGCTTTTTTTAAGAGTTAAGGAAATGTGTCTGAAGTTTTGTTGGGCTGTTCTCTTTGTCTCAAATATTGTTGGAGAATTTTGGAATGATTTGAAATCTGTGGTTTGATGTTTCTGTAGGGGTTTGTTTGAGAAAGTTGGGAACTTTGTTTTGTTTCTATTACTCTGTTAGTTTGATATTTGCCTCCACTTGTTCTGTACTTGCAGAGTCAAGCGTCGGGTAACGTAGTGAGAAGTGTTCAGAGTGGGATTTCAAGCTCACGTGAAAGGAGACTTAGACTAGGTATGCTCTTTTGTTGTGTATGAATTTCTCTTTATTTTTCTAATTCCACAGCTTTCGCTTATGTTTGATATAATTGCTCATCTAGTTTCAGCTTAAGGATGCAATTTCTTTTTTTTTTTTAGTTGTATCTCAAACTTTTGGTTTAATTATTGATTAGGTGGTGTTTACTCATTAACCATTTGCATTATTAGATACTTGACGTTAATGCAATAATGCATTTCTGATCCTGATTTTATGCACGGACAAACCTTGGTTCTTATTTGCAGCTAGAGATGAGATTATGAATTTGAAAGACGCCTTGGAAATGGGTGATGAGACAGATTATCTGGTTGACATGGCTACTAAATTTTTTAAAGTATGTCCGGTTTACATATTTTTTCAGAATATTAATTTTTTTAGGACTTCTAGTTCTAACCCCTTTTTTTAAACTCAATTTATCTTCTGAAGATGGCACTGGATCATAATTTCACTAAGGGCCGCAGAACTGAACTAGTACAGTGTTCCTGTCTCTACTTGACTTGCAGGTTAGGTTCATAGTAACCGTCCTGTTGCTCTCCTAATTCTGGTTCTTCTTTAATATACCATGCTGAATGTTGACTAAAACCTTTCTTGATCTGTAGGCAAAAGAACTTTCCGTTTCTTCTTATTGATTTCTCAAGCTACCTTCGAGTTAGCGTGTAAGATGCGTTTTGTTTGTCTTCCTTTCCATTGTAATACAGGTTTTGATGTTTCTGAGTCTTAAAACTCGTTTGTAGTTATGAGTTAGGTGCTGTGTACTTACAACTCTGTGAATTGCTGTACATGGATGAAAACCGGAACTTTGAGAAGCTTGTTGATCCTTCCATCTATATTCCTCGGTTCGCAAAAAGTAAGAATGTCGTCTTTTGACTCTCATTCTTTGATGTATTTGGTTGATGGTAAATGTTACTATTATTATTCTATTTATTTAGTTGCTCTGAACATCAGCCAAGAAACAAACGTTTATATAGAGTAGTACTTAACTAAGATTACTCGTTTCATTGCACACTTGCAGCCTTATTGAAAGGCAACGAAGAAACAGCTAATGTCGTGCTAACAGCTAGAGACATTTTAGCTAGTATGAAGAGAGATTGGATACAGGTTTGACTTCTTTTTTTTTGTTAGTTGATCGTTTCCTATGCACCCTTTATCTTAGCGTTATTTATTGTCGATTATACCTTGCAGACCGGCCGAAAACCTAGTGGAATATGCGGAGCAGCACTTTACACAGCTGCCCTTGCCCATGGTATCAAGTGCTCTAAGACAGATATTGTAAGATATGATTAGCTTAGAAGAAAAAAGTATTTTCAAAAGATGAGAGGAAAGATGTTTTAGCATTTTATTTAACAAATTTAGTGCTGATATGGTGTTATTTCTAAATATTTCAGGTAGGCATTGTGCATATATGTGAAGCAACTCTAACCAAAAGATTGAATGAGTTTGGAGATACTGAGGCTGGAAGTTTAAATGTAAGTTTCATATTATCAGACTTGTAGTGTTTAATTATAATTAAGATATCTATGTCATATAGTAGGGTTTTATGGGGTGTTTTAAAGTGTGTTATCTTAAATTATCTTTAGGCTTTTCTTGTTTGACACCGTTTTTTATGTGTGGCTAGGTTGGGGAGCTCAAAATGAGAGAAAAAGAATTTTTTAAAAGATCTTTTCCCACGAACCAGACGTCTAACAAAGAGACGGTGCACTGTATGCATCAGGATAGTAAGCCTGTTAACTATGGACTATGTGAGAAATGTTACAAAGATGTAAGTCTCCGGTTTTCTGCCTAGTTTGTCTCTTTTCATGTCTTCTGTTTACGTATTTGTAAATTTTTGCAAATGGCTATGAGAGTTAACAGTCTAATGGTTTGCAGTTCATGGATGTTTCTGGAGGACTTGTTGGTGGGTCGGATCCTCCTGCTTTCCAACGAGCAGAGAAAGAGAGAATGGAAAAAGAAAAAGCAGCTAGAGAAGAAAACGAGGGAGGGATTATCAGCCTAAACCATGATGAACAACTAAATGTAAGTTTAGTGTTTTCTTGCTAAGGAAAACACATGTATATCAAGCTTGTTCAATCATGCTTTGGTGGAATCTTATGCTTGAAATATTTTTCCTGGCGAACTTTTGGCAGTCCAAGAGAGAACCAGTCTACTCCAGTGTGAGCAAAAGTGCAAAACCATGTTCAGGTGAGTGCGCAATTGTTTTCTAATCAGTTTACACTTTCTTTTGCTAAAGTTTGAGCTCTTGAGAATATTTATTGTGTGCTGTGTCACAGAGAAAGGTGAAGGAGAAAAAGATGAGGATGATAGTGAAGTTTCGGATGAATCAGGCAACTTTTCTGACGTCAGTGATACTGAGGTGGGAAAAATATTTTACATTCTTGTGTTAGTTATATTACATGCTAAGTGGTCACATGTTCAGCCTTTAAGTGTCTCTGTCTCTTTTGTTTACTACTTTTTCGTTTGTTAGATTGATCTTGCTCGTAATATTTGACTGTTAACTCAGGTGGATTGCTACATTAACAACGAGGAGGAAAGGCGGTTTAAGAAGATGGTATGGGAAGAAATGAACAAAGAATATATTAAGGTAATTCTTGAGGCTATATCATCTATATCCTCTCGTAAATTCCTTATCAATTGTCACATGCATAAGAATCTGACAAAACTATATATTGTTTTTGTAGGAGCAAGCAGATAAAGAAGCTGCTTTGAAGGCAGCTAATGACGCCCTAAACGCGAGCAACTCTAATTTGCCAGAACATGCAAGAAAGCTTGTTGAGGCTTCTAAAGCTGCTGTAGCAAAATCTAGAAAGGTGAGTCCCTCTCAGCTTCTTTTGCATCATATAAGTATCTGACTTCTGGAGAATAATGACTCAATCCAAATATGGTTCTCTTTGATAACTCATATAGGAAAAGCAACAAAAACGAGCTGAGGAAGCAAAGAACATGCCTCCCCCAGCCACAGCCAAGGAGGCTGTTCGCAGAATGCTTGATAGAAAGGTTAAAATGTCTTTTCTTGATACCTTTAGACCAACCTGGAGCTAAAAGTACATACAAATTCATGTCCATAAAATATATGTTCTTTAAGTTAACATTGAAGAAACTATTGGAGTTTTTTTTGTGTTCCTTCCTCTTTCATGACTTGAGTTGACTCTTTGACGTTTGCAGAGGCTTAATGGGTTAATCAACTACGATCTTTTGGACGAGCTCGACGATCTCCTTGATACATCTGTAAGTTTTTCTTTATTCTCTCCTCTGTTTCCTTAAGATTATTAATCACTTTCCAGTTGTATATGAGTAAAATTTTCTACTCATTGTCTTTGTTTCAGCCAACTGAGAAACCAGCCAAGATTTCAAGAACCGAGACAGTCATGGAAAAGAAGGAAGAGAAAAAGGAAGTGAAGAGCACTAAACAAGAGGATGGTGAAAATGAAGACGAAGATGAAGGTGAAGATGACCAAGAAGGCTATGTAGAATCATATGACATTAACACAGATTTTCCAGACGCTGAGAACATCTATGAAGAGGAAGAAGAGGAAGGTTATGATTTTGGACTATATTGATGTCTTCTGAAACAAAGTTTTACAATGGACACTTCATATTGTAGAACATTTCAACATTGTTCTTTACAATAATAAATTTATAATGGAATCTGATATAGTTTTAAACAATTGTTAATTGAACACGTCAATTTTTTTTCTTTTTTTGATCAACGGATTAGCTAATCACACTCTTGTCAAGTCTTGTGTTCCTGAGGTTATCTCTCTACAGTTAACGTATGGTAAAAAAGACTCTTTTACCTTTGCGACTGTCCACTTTCCAGATTAAAACGGTTGACAGCGTTAATTGGTTTCATATAATTGGTCTCTTTACTAAACCAACTTAACAAAACACACTATGCTTATGAGATACATTTTCATCATATCAAACTAATTACAAAAAAAAAAACCCAGCACCATGAGATACTTTAGTTGTTAACATCTTAAGCACTGAAAACAGCCTCTCGGTTTAACTAAATTCTAAATTGATTGATAAATACCGGTTCGGTTATGTAATAAATGAAGCTAATTAGTAGAATAAACCGGTCGAGTCAGAGAATAGGTTATGGTAAAAAGAAAAAAGTAGGGTAAGTAAACGGTGAGGTCAGCTGAAGAAGTATTCGTTATAATATTTTTGTTTTGCTCTGTTTGGATCAAAGTCTCTCTCTCTCTCTGCTTCAACGGGCAAAGTATTATTCGAATAAAGTTTCCTTTTTTAATTTTATTTTTAAACGTTCCTTTCGTCTTCTTCTTGTGTTCTTCTGCTGTCGAGTTTGTGCAATCTGTCTCTCTAATCTGATTGATTTTAAGGGTTTTTAGTTCTTGTGATCAGATGTAGTCAAAATTGTGAGTTCATTGGTTGCTTAGGTCTGAAATCGATGCAAATTCTTGTAGGGCTTCTTGTTAATCAGTTTCTGTGATTAGAATTGTTATAAAGCCTAAGATTTTTTTTTTTACTTTGTCTGCTTGAGTGTTTTGTCTGAATTGTGTTGTTATGGATGGATCTTCAGGTAAAAGTGACAATGGAGGATGAGTTTATAGAGAATAAGCAATCAACCGCTGCTTCTTCCTCTTCTGTGTCTGAAGGAAGTAGTAGTAGTTTGCTTACGTCACCTGGTGCTGTTGCAAGTCCTCCCACAGTTTCTCCAACTCATAGGTAACTTTCTTTGTTTGTGTGTAATCACTTTTGTCTTTTTTTTTTTTTTTTTTTGAAACATGTAATCACTTTTGTCTTGTTTACAGTTTTTGTAATGATATTTTTTTTGTTATGACAGGAGGACGAGTGGGCCTATAAGGCGAACTAAAGGAGGCTGGACAACGGAAGAGGTTTAGTATTTGATTGCTTTGAGTTGACTAAAATAAAACTAGTTCTTGAAAATGAGATGAGAGTTTGTCTTTACTTATTAACAGGATGAGACATTGAGACAAGCAGTTCGTAGGTTTAATGGCAAGTTTTGGAAGAAAGTAGGTAAATGACTTACTAGTTTCATCCTCTTGTTCTGTGTAGTCTTTTATTGAAACTGTTCTTGTTATTTGAATTGTTTTTTTTTTCTTGTGCAGCGGAGTTTTTCCCTCATAGGACTGAAGTTCAATGCATGCACAGGTGGAAGAAAGTTTTGGATCCGAACCTTAATAAGGGACATTGGACGCAACAGGTTACCGTTATGTTTCTGATTCTTTTTGTTCTTGTGAATGTCAGAGAGCTTGAATGTTAATGTTCTTGCAGGAGGATGAGACAATCGCTAAGCTTGTTGAAAATGGGCTTAAGAAATGGTCTTTAATCGCAAAGTATTTGCCAGGTCGAATAGGGAAGCAATGTCGAGAAAGGTAGTTATTAATCATATGAGCTGAGGAAAACATTTTTCTTATTGTAGTTGTTTAGGATGATGATTCAGTGTGTGTGTTTGATATTTATGCAGGTGGCACAACCATTTGGATCCTGGTATCAACAAGAAGGCTTGGACACAAGAGGAAGAGTTAGCTCTATTGAATGCTCATCTAACCTATGGAAACAAATGGGCTGAAATATCTAAGGTCTTACCTGGCAGGTATATACTTTCTTGGTGCATGCTGTTAAGACTCTATACAATGCTTAGCTTCTTGGTTTAATAAAACTTGAAAACTTGATGCAGAACTGATAATTCAATAAAGAACCACTGGAATAGTTCATTGAAGAAGAAGTCAGAGTTCTTCTTAGCTAATGGTAGCTTACCACCAACAGTAGCAAAGACTAATGCTTCTCAAACCTCTTTGGTAACTACTACACAGACAAATAAACCTGATGAAGAAGGAAAAGACCAATCAAACTCTTCTGTTCCACTCCAAGAAGTAGTAGCTGCTTCACCAGTGACCAGTGTTAGTGAGTACGCTCGTTCTTCTCCTCAGTTTCCTATCCCAGAGACATCGCCAAAGAACGGTTATCATCTTTACTACAAGCCTGAGAGAGAGCACTACATGGCGTCAGAAGCTGATAAGCAGCGTATGTATGGTTATGAATATGGTTGCAGTCCAAGCACACCACCTGTTATCTTCTTCACTCCACCACCACCGCCTTGTAGAAAAGAAGAGAAAAGTAACGGTTCATCAGCTCCAACGAGTCTTGAGTCTTTCTTGAGAGAAGCTGCTAGAACATACCCAAACATGCCTTCTATTATCAGGAAAAGACGACGCAAAGTTCAGGATAACAACAAAACAGCTGAAGAAGAAGCTACTAAAGAGGCTGTTGTTGATGAAAAGGTGAGCCTTGATTGTGAAGAAGAGAAGCAAAACAATGGATCATATGGTTACTACATTTCTCCTCCATACCGGATAAGATCCAAAAGAAGAGCTGTATTCAAGTCAAGACAGCTTGAGTTCATCACTGCAGAGGAAGAAAAGGTTGATGATGATGAAACCATATCATCTGAGAAAGATAAGCTGGCTTGATGATGGAGGAAATCAAGGTGTATTTTATTGGCTTTTAGCGTCTTTTAATTTATTTTTTAGGGTTAACGTTTAAGGTGTATTTAATCCAAAGAACAATCGAATATGTTACATGAATTAGGGTAGTGTTAATACCCACACATTAATGAAATAGGTTAGTCAATGTGCACATTGTCATATGTTGCAACAAAGATGGAGATCAGTTTCAGTCATACAAGACTGCTAAAATTCCTCAGGTTTATCTGCAAATGAGAGTCTAAGTTACTAAGAGATGTTCAATTCACATTAATTCTTTGATTTATTTGACTAATTTAATATCATATTTATAGAAATTAAATTAGTTAATTTGCTTCATCAAAAGTACAAATATAAAAAGAAATCAAAATAACTATATTTGGTTTTAGTAATTAGTATTGAGTATTTAGAGGATGAGATTATGGTAAGGGTTAAGGATTTAGAGAAATGTAATCAGTTTACTCATTAATCAATGATATTTTAAGAATTTTTGGATTTACTTTAATCATTTACTTTTTAATTAATGCTATTTAAAAAAAAATCTATGCTATTTTGTAACAAAAAAATTTGGTAAGAATTGTCCAATTTTTTTTTTTTTTTTTTTTTGTAACACAAAGAATTGTCCAATTAAATAAGAGAAAACAGCCATTAAAACCTTGAACTTTCAAATTAAAGCCAATAAAATTTTCCGCTCATGTTTAAGTCAAAAGAATCTCCAATTTTTAAATATTGGTCGTTTTAATTCTTATATTTTGTTGACTAGGTCATTTAAGAAATTCAAATAGTCAACTGTTAAACACGATTATATAAATAGATAACTGTTTACTTTTAAACGATGTTGTTTTAATAAAAAAGGTAAAATGACCTAGTTTTGTTTCTTTAAACATCTAAAGCATCTTTTCGCGAAATTTCTCAAATCGACTTCATTTTCTTCACTTGAAAATAAGGAAAATGAAGTAGATTTGAGGTTTCGGCTCACGAAAAAGATGTTTTAAGTGTTTTTAAAAGCAAAACGACATTGTTTGATTAATATTTAATCAGTTTTTGAAACAACTTCGTTTAAAGAGTTACATAGATCTATTTTCTAATCAAATTTAACAGTTAATTATTCGAGTTTCTTAAGTGATCGAATCAACAAAATTTGAAAGTTAACCAATATTTGAAAGTTGAAATTTTTTTTAGCTCAAATATGAATTAGAAGTTTTATTGATTTTAATTTGAAAGCTCAAAGTTTTAACGATACTTTTCTCAATTAAATAATATATATTATTATTTTGCCGGATAAATACGTAAAAACAATTAAAAAGGAAACAGACTAAACAAATAAAAGGAAACAGAGGAGTATATAGAGAGAGAGACCTACAGAGCTTTAGAACAACTCAGCTAATTACAAAACCTAAAATTTATCTCTCTTTTGTTCAATGGAAGGCTTATATAGTTATATGTTCCGATCGATGTAGAGCGTGAATCATGGGATAAGCTTCAGAGAGGAATAAATACCTTGGTGAACAAGGTAAACACTAACAACTTAAACCATGTTGTTCTTGAACTCTTTGAACAGAACCTCATCAGAGGAAGAGGTATCTTGTGCAGATCATGTCTCATATATCAGATAGCTTCTCCTAAGTTCACCGACGTGTTCGCTGCTTTGATCGCAGTCGTTAACTCCAGGTTCCCTTCTGTTGGTGATCTTTTCTTGAGAAGATTGGCTTTGCAGATCAGACAGGCTTATGATCGCAAAGACAAGCCTCTTCTGTTAGCTGTGGTTAGGTTCCTCGCGCATCTCTTGAACCAGCGTGTAGCTGTAGCCTGTAGAGCCTGTTGCAATTGAGCTTCTCCACATGCTGCTTCGTGAACCTAGTGGGGACACTGTTGAGGTAGCTGTTTGGTTTGTTAAAGAGTGTGGTGCCACGCTTCGTGAAGTGTCTCCAAGAGTCTTTGACGTAGTTTTCCACATCTTTAGACGGATTCTTCAAGAAGGTGACTTGGAGTATAAGTCTCAGTGTTTGATTAGGTCTTTGCTCTCTTGCAGCTTTGAGGATCATCAACCGATTCGTCCTGAATTAGATTTACTTGCGGAGTAAGTAACACATTCCGCAAGTAACACATGTGATCTCTCTGTTTAATGAGATTGATCCCGAGACTTCCTTGGACGTCTTCAAGCCTGACCCGGAGTTTTACTAAACGAGAGGAAGTATGAGCAGCTGAAAAGGAAGATACTTGGGGAAGAAGATACAGACAAAGAAGACCATACAGAAACTGATCTTGTCAGTCTTAGAAGAACAATCTATCAAACAATCATGTCAAGTCTTAATTTCGAGGAAGCAGGACATAAACTACTCCAAATCATTAAACCAGGGCAAGAGATGGAGCTATGCGTTATGATACTAGAATGTTGCATTGAGGAGAGAACTTACCGTTCTTTCTATGGTCACTTAGCACACAGGTTCTGTCTCAAAAGCAAAACATACAAAGAATGTTTTAAGGATCTGTTTGTGGAGAAATACGCAAGAGTTCATCGACTAGAGACTAATAAGTTGAGGAGTGTAGCCATGTTCTTTGCTCATGCCCTAGCCACAGACGCTCTTCCGTGGGGTGTCCTTGCTTGTATTAGGTTAACAGAGGAAGACACAACTTCGTCGTCTCGTATCTTTGTTAAGTTTCTTTTTCAAAAACTCTCTGAGCAGTTGGGGGTGAGGGGTTTGAAGGAAAAGCTTCAGGATCCAGCCATGGAGGAGACTTTTGAGCCGATTTTTCCAACCGACCATCCCAAGAACATGAGGTTCTCCATCAACTTTTTCACCTCCATTGGCCTTGGGGGCATCACTGAAAAACTCAGGCAGATTCTCACCGAGCAACAGAATCAGTAATCAGCATATGAGACTGAGAGGAAGCTTGGTTGAATAGTCAAGAATTTGTAAGCTCTCTATCAAGTTGTATACAGTCTTTTATTTGGCTTTTATGTGTATTGGATTATTTTTTTTGTGTTGGATTTATTCTAACAACTATAATTATATATTTACAAGTTGAAATTAGAGGAAAGAACAACATAAACGTGCCAGCTTAGAAACATTGTCAATAGAATAGAGAGAGATCTTGATCACCAAGATTGTGCCAAGAAACTGGTTAGAGAGAGATATTAAATTGCCCAAGTTGACATCATCATGATGATTCAACTTTTTCATACCATACTCTAATCATTTAGTAATGACAACTTTGATTAAATATGTTTGAAACTAAGTTGAAAAATAAAACACAGTAAAGATTACAAGGCTCTGTTCCACATTATATTCATATAAAGAGACTCAATCACTCAAACAAGAAACTAAAAAAAAAACTCTTTATCAAAATTAAAGATCAGTCCACTGAAATACAAAGTGACCAATCACATACGTATTGGCAGAGACAGACCAAAACACAAACAAAGACCATTATCGGCTAAAAGAAAAGACAAAGACAAGGCTGCAGCCATTATTAAACATAAAAAGCAAAACCTAAAAACATCATTAGGGCTATATTATTACGCAAATTAAAAGACACTGATTATCTCTGCCACTTTAAATAAAGTTTTAAATTCATGTACAAGTGCAAGGATCACACTTGCAGTCAGATCCACACTTGCATCCATCGTTCTCGACGTTACTCTCGCCGTAACTCTCGTATTGCTTCTTCATCGCTGGTGCAACGCCAGAGACAAAAGTCTCAGTCGTGGTCGACTCACCGGAAAAGCCCAAGTCAGGGTACTTTTTGCAACTGCAACAACCGAAACAACACCATCAAGATCCAATTAAAAACGTAACTCAAAACATATATTAGAGAAGGCTCAAGACTTGCCCTCCACAACAACCAGAGACGCACGTGCAGCCAGTTCCACAACCACAGTTTCCTCCGCAACAAGACATTTTTGCGATAAAATTCAATGAAAAAACGAAGATATCTCAAAGAGTATATATTTAACTAAACTGGTCGATAAAAGGTTTATCACTAATGAAACTTGTGATCGATGAAGCTCTTGAGTTTATAAGCTAAATAAAGAGAATATTCATCATGCACGTGTCTCGATCTCCCTCTCTCTCTCCGCTCATATCTCGTAGTTAGTTCAATAAATATCGGGTCGATAATTGTGGAGTGTTTGTTCGTTCTGGTTCTTCCTAGAGTGTACCGTGAGTTACTAGTCTTATCACCGTTCAGATGTACACCGCATTACATGCAGATATTAATCTACGGTTGTGTTTAATTATTTTTATTTACTTAGTCACTTGATACTCGGAGTATCGGACCCTTTGAGATCTTAAAAATATCCGGGTTTAATACTAGCAATCAAGTTATTAGAATTTTATGTTTCTGTATATAAAAGAATTTTGTATTTCTTGCATTTTGAAGTAAATCGATCTAAGATAATATCCAAAATACGTTGGTAAAGAAGAATATAAACGAAGAGTTCCTCTTCATATTTTTAGGGTTCATCAAATATTTTGAAAAAGAGGGCTCAAATCCTTTTATGAAGTATCACTACGAGTGCCCGGGAGAGATTGTAGGAAAAACCAATTGCCTAATCTTATCCAGATGATAACATTTTAAATTTGAAAAGTGATGTTTATTGTTTCAAAAGCTGATTTTACGCAACAAATTTTCCATGATCCTTTTGATAAATAAATATTTGAGGTTAGGAGATGCAAATATATTGGCGTGAAAGTCGACTGGTTAAGATTTTTTACTAGGGCTAACACATAACCGAAAATTTGAACCGAACCCGATCCGATAAAAATGAATCCAAACTGATCTGAAGCCGATATAACACTACAAGAAAACATGATATATTTCGACAGCAATTCCAACGGAAAAGGTTTTCTTCGGAATATACCGATGTTATTCCGAATAAATTCCGAGGAAAAGCAATTCTTAAGTTTCCTCGGAATTTCGTCAGAAAGTTTCGACGAGGAAGTCATCTTTCGTCGGTTTAATCCGACGTTATTCCGAGGAATTTATATTAGTCGAAATCTAATCCGACGAAAATCCAAGGATAATTTATAGCCATTATAGAGCCTTTAGGAAATTTTAAAAACCTCGACGAAATTCCGACGAATATCATGTTTCCGTCGGAATTCCATCAAAATTTCGTCAGAATTGTCAGCAACATTTCATCTATAAATACAAGTACTCCTTATCCTCTTAATTCCGTCAATATTCTCATCCTCTCACTTACTATTTACATACGAAGCTGATTCAAATTTTGTTTTCTATATTTATAAAAAGATTTTATATTTTTTAAAACTATTTTTAGTTTTATAAAACTTTTTCTATATTTATAAAAAGATATTTATATTTATTAAAACTATTTTTGGATTTATAAAACTTTTTATATATTTATAAAAAGATTCTCTTTATATTTATTAAAATTATTTCTCTATTTATAAAAATTATTTTTATATTTATTTATTTTATATTTTATTCTCACTTAATAATAATTTTTTTATTTGCAGGTCTGGTAGCGATAACCAGATCAGGCTTCACCGTTCCACACCACGAGGTCGGGCTGGTTTGACGGATACCTCTCGTGGTTCTGCATCCTCCCAAAATCAAAATCTCGACGCTTTTCCTCCTGCTCCCCCTCCCGCTCCTGCTCCTCCAGTTGTTCCGGGTATCATGACTGTTGAACAATTGGTTCATTAGCCGGGCGAGAGAATCTTCTCGTTCTTAATTCGTATCCAAGGGGACGACACCAAACATATGAGAATTCTCTTTATTTTATCTTTTTCTTTCTTTATATTTTGCTTGATTCTGAATTATTTTTTAGTAGGTTCCACCGGTCGGGGAACGGGATCAGCAGCTTCAACAATTGGATGATGTACTCGACCCTCATACTACCAACACCGCCTTCTCTCTCGAGGATCAGGAGATGTGGTTCCATCAATTTTTGATATTTCTTTTTAATTTTGTAACTTATATTTTTATTATTTGACTTAAAATTTCTAGTAATTGTGTTTTTCAGTAAGAATTCAACTGGAATCCCCACCAGACGGTCTATATCTGTAATGAATTCAACCATAAAGTCATGGACAATTATGGGAAACAAATCTATGAATTTTAGCAAAAGTGGCTCAAGTGAAAGACACCGAAATCATTAACGAGACAGTGTGACTCGAGTTGCAACAACATTGGGAGTATGTGGGTACGTAAGAGACCTCGGTGACCAACTCCGGCAACCGTATGAGAATTCGGGAAGGCGTTACAAGCACAACTTGGGTGCTTGCAGTATGCCCACTCTGGGGGATCAACTAGTAAGTTGATTTTTTTTCTTATTTATTTCAATGTTGTTTTTGCTTTATTTCAATTTTTTAAGTTTTTTATAAACAAATACTTTTTTTTTAGGCGGAAGAAATTATGGTGAGCCAGTTGATGAACTCGTGCTAATGAAGAAGGTGTATACCAACAAGAAGACCAGAGAGATTTCGGATGGCGTTGTGAAGGATGTGATCAACTTGGTCGAAACCCAGAAGGATGAAGAGATCCACTGCCTATCTCAGCTTTTCTCTGACGACAACGCCATAACTGCTGCCACCAACCTATCTCGAGTTCGTATCAACGAACTCATTGAGTCAGTAAGATCGTCATTTTAATTTACAGTTTAATTTTACTTTTTTTTTGAAAGAATGTTAAATTAATTCACTCCAAAAAAAAAGTTTTACAACGGAAAGTTGTTTTTTAAAAGTAAATGAAGCTAAACCAAACTAGATTTACATCAAATATTGATCAGTAGACACTACAAGAAAACTCGTCCATTACTAGGGCAGGTTTTCCTCGTTAGTTCCTAGTAAATGACCTTTTACTAGGAACTTACGAGGAAACGCGTTTCGTCGAAACACGTTCATCGTAAAGCCTTTTTCCTCGTAAAGTCGTAGTAACCACTTTCCTCTTAATTTCCTAGTAACCACTTTCCTCGTAATTTCCTAGTAACCACTTTCCTCGTAATTTCCTAGTAACCACTTTCCTCGTAATTTCCTAGTAACCACTTTCCTCGTAATTTCCTAGTAATGCTTTACAAGGAATTTACTTCGAAATGTTTTTCCACTTTCCTCGTAATTTCCTAGTAATGCTTTACTAGGAATTTACTTTGAAATATTTTTCCCTATTAAAAAAATAATTAAAATAAATATAAATAATATATTTAAAAAAAATTAAAGAATCCAAATTATAAATAAAAAGAAATAACTAAATATTTTATAAATAACTAAATATTTAAGTTTTAAATTCATATACAATTAAAGAGAAAAAAAACTAAACTACGGATGTTGCTCGTTAAATTGACGAACGAAGTCGTCATCCCGGCACGACAACTAGTATCATTAATATACTAGTATCATTTAAAAAAAACAGTTAAAAAATTAAATCAACCTAATCTAAATTCCCTAAACTAACCACCTAATCTAAATTCCCTAATCTAACCACCTAATCTAAATTCCCTAAACTAACCACCTAAACTAAATTCCCTAATCTAACCACCTAATCTAAATTCTCTAATCTAACCACCTAAGTAGGAAATAGAGAGAACCTTAAGAGAATTCAGAGAGAAGCTTACTACAAATGAGAAATCGGATTGCTCGAGTTTATATAAGGAATTTTGTTTCCTCGTAAGGCCCTAGTAACATTACTAGGCCTTTACGAGGAAATAGCTATGCCNCCTAATCTAACCACCTAATCTAAATTCTCTAATCTAACCACCTAAGTAGGAAATAGAGAGAACCTTAAGAGAATTCAGAGAGAAGCTTACTACAAATGAGAAATCGGATTGCTCGAGTTTATATAAGGAATTTTGTTTCCTCGTAAGGCCCTAGTAACATTACTAGGCCTTTACGAGGAAATAGCTATGCCCGTGTTTTATTTCCTCGTAAAGTCCTAGTAATACCATTACTAGGACTTTACGAGGAAATTGCTTTACTAGGAAATAGCTATGCCTGCGTTTTTTTCCTCGTAAAGTCCTAGTAATGTTATTACTAGGACTTTACGAGGAAACAACTATGCCCGCGTTTTCTCTTACTAGGGCTTTACGAGGAAAGGGTTTGTAAATCCCTAAACTCGAAACCCCAAACCACAACTTCCTTAACTTATAACCTCTTCTACAACCAAACTCCTAACCTCTTCTACACCTAAACCCCAAATTTTCAAAACTAAACAACCTAATATAAGTTCCCTAAAATAAACCCTAAACCTAAACAAACTTCCATAACTTATACATACATCTTCCTAAACCCCAAATCACAATTTTTTTTAAAAAAACTAAAAGAAGTATACAGTCAACGGAACGGTTTTTATCAACCCCACATAGCTTTCCTCGAACTATCTACGTGAAGAAAATCCCCAAGCTATTTCTTTGAGGAAAAGCTATGAGGAGTTGATAAGAAACTATTATGTTGACTGTGAACTCCTTTCAGTTATGAATTGAGTATTTTCTATTTGTTTGGTGTGTTTCAAATGAATCACATATGGTGGTATTTATAGAAATTTTTGAATCTGAGAATTTACTAGGAAATTGCTAGGAAAAGTAGGTACAAATTTTAAATTCGATATTTTCTATCTAGTTCCTCTTAATTTCGTAGTAACAAAACTCATTCCTCTTAATTTCGTAGTAAGCAATTACTAGGACTTTACGAGGAAACTGCTTTACTAGGAAATAACTCTGCCCGCGTTTTTTTCCTCGTAAAGTCCTAGTAATGTTACTACGACTTTACAAAGAAACTGTTTTCTCGTAAGTATACGAGAACCTTACGAGGAAACATGGTTTCCTCGTAAATTCGAAGTAAACTCGTAGTAATTTTACGAGGAATTATTTTCCTAGTAAAGTTTCCTAGTAAATGCTTAGTTTTCTTGTAGTGAGAGAACCACGTCTCCATGGCGTTGTGATACATTGAGTCTACTCGTTTTTCCATGCTTGAGATGCGGTTTCGAACTTGCTTATCAATGTGTTTAATAAGAGCAGAGGCTGTCTTGTGCACTTCTCCAAATCTTCTCTTATTTCTTCAGTCCAAATAGCGTACAAGGACGCCTGAATTTTTTTTTCATTTCATCGTCTTTTTCATTATTTCAATTTTTATGTTTTCTCTTTTTTTTTTCATGCGGTTCCAAGGAAAATAGGCCGTTTGTTCGAGTTGGCTCGTCGCTCCAAGTCAACTCTTTCTACTTCAGAACTGACTTTTGTTGATCTGGCACTTAAGGAGCAGCTACAGAACAAGAATGACTGCATAGTAGCATTGGAGACCCAGAAACACCACCATTCTTACCCAGAACGCCACAATTCTTGCTAAGATGGCCGATCATCAAGCTGAAGTGGAGGAAACGAAGAAGATGAACCAGGACATGCTGGACATAATGTGACGGTTGTTTCCGCACAAATTCTAGTTTGCGTTTTTTTTTTAACTCTGAATGTTTTCTATTTCAGATTTAATTTTCTATTTTAAAATTAAATTCACAATACAAAATAATTATTATATAAATATTTTTTTAAAATAAAAAAAAATCAGAATATTCCGAGGAAGTATAGCCGTCAGAATATTCCGAGAAAGAACAGCCGTCGGAATATTCCAACGAAGACATTCCTCGGAAATTTTTGAGGAAGAAGTGCCCTCGGAATATTCCGACGGCTATGCTTCCTTGGAATATTCCGAGGATGGCCTCCCTCGATCTTTTCCTCGGCATTTTCCGATTAATGAGCTCTGTTAGTAAACCTCCGACGAAGTATCTGTAAGAATAATCCAATGGAGTACCGACGACTACGCCCTTTGAAAGCCTTCGTAAGAATTTCCTCAGAATTGTGTGTCTATCGAAAGGTGTTGGTGTTCCCTCGGAGCCTCTGACGAATTTCCGAGGAAATGTTTATTCCAAGGATATTTTTCCGACAACCTTTTCTTCGGAATTTTGTCGGAATATGCTTTTTTCCGACGAAATTTTGAAGAAAAATATCGTCGAAATTCACCTACTTTTTTGTAGTGTAAATATCGAATGGATTTTGTTTTATGATATTTCGGGTTTTGGGTATTATCCGAGTCGAACCCGAACCTATATGGGTCTCTGATAGAACTCGAAACATTCAAAATCTCAAAAAAAAACTTGTACCAAACATGATCTCAATTCCCAATATGTATCTAAAATACTTTAAGTTATTATTGATCATATAAAATAATTATCTATTACATGAAGGTTGATAGTTGAAAGTGTCCGTTAATGCTTGAAATTTTTAGATTTTGGTTTTGTTATCATCGAATAATGTTTTTCATTTCATGAGAACTTGCTTGTCGTTTTATGCTTTCATTCATTTGGTTTTCTTTCTATCAGTAGTTATGTTTACCTTTCGTTTGATTTTGAATGATCACGTTTGATGTTCCTTTCTAATTTTTGAATAATTTACTTATGTTTTGGCTACAAATCAGGTACTTTAAATCCGAAAAACCGATTTTACTTAAGTTTTGATTACAAAATATGTATAAATCATATACTTTTAAATTGAAGAATCGATTGAGACCCAAATCCGAAAGTACAATGGATTATATCAATTCTTTGAAGATTTACTAACCTCGACCCAAACCCGATAAAATCCGAACAGGTCTTGAACCGAATTTTCATATAACTTAAATGGAGCTGATTTTATTAAACCCGAAAAACCAAAACTCGATTATATAAAATCGAAAACCAAATTAGCCCAGGGCTATTTTCTTACTTTCTGATTTGCACTTTTCAGTTGCTCGGTACTCAAGTGTTGTGAACTTGTGAGGCTTTAGAACATTAATTTTCATTACAAGTATATATATATATAAAGACATACATACCTACAATTAGAATAAAATAAGAATAATAATTATATATTTTAAAATTTGAAAAATTAACTTAGGAGTTATTATTTTTACTTTATTATATTTTGAGATATTCTATTAAAATTTTTCTGACAGTCCACCAAGTGACCATTTTATCAAACAATTCGTTCTATTTATCACTCGGTGCTGATTTATAGTGCAAGTATACAGTTTATGGTTCGTGATATACAGTTTATAAGTAACTGGTTGTAGACATAGACATAGACTGGTTGTAGACATAGACAGTTTAACTGGTTGTAGACATAGACTGGTATTTAGTATAGTGCAAGTATACAGTTTATAAGTAACTGGTTGTAGACATAGACAGTTTAACTTATCATGGTTAGAAAACAATATGATTATGATAGGTTGCCGAATATGTGGCATACTAAGCAGAGAGATTGTTTTGTTTTACCAATAAAGTTTACTGACCTATCCAAGAAGATACATACCGTCAACTTATTATCCAAAATAAAAGGGTTATGCTCTTCTTGCATCAGATATCATTTTTAACTAAACTAAATACTTGGTTAGACAATAGACAATACAGCATATTCAAATACGCGAGAAATAAATAGATAACAAAAACTCACTAGAGAAAGAAAAAAAGTTCAGTGAGTCTATTCAAAAGATCTTTTAGCAACTTTTTGTTTTGTTAGAAGAAGATGTTTAAATTATATTCACATGGAAGATCTCCAAATTCTTCCTTCTAGTGAAATCACAATCACTGAAACATCGTCATGATACTTGCGACGATCTCCTTGCGGTATCTCCAGCAACTCATGGAAGTCCATACCTGAAAAATAACATACAATTTAAACATGAGTTTAACAAAAAAACTGCGTTTTGCTTCTTAATTAAAATGCGTTTGCGTTTTGTTCTTAACTAGTACCATATTTTTTGGCAGCTCTAAGGAGGACTTCTTGGATAAGATGCTGAGCAGGATCACCTTCAGGGAAGGCTGAGATGAAAGAGTCTACCTCAAATATGGCTTCGTCGTTGGAAAAGTATTCGTACAATCCATCGGAGGAGAGTATGAGGAATTTGTCACGTGACGTGAGTCTGTGATGGTAGAGCGACGGGGCGCACATGATGTATGGCGATGTTCCAACGTAGTTGATTCTGAACATCTCTAGAAGCGCCTCGTTCCATTTCGGCTGAGGAAGATAATTTTCTTTTTTAGTTAGTAAAGGATCCAAAATATCATAGTTTTCCTAATGATTAATGTGTTCTACCATCTAAACTACTAGAAAAATGTCTAAACATTGATGTTGACTGGCGGCAACTCGATTATAATCACAACGGTTATTATTAAACAGCGTTGGGTTTAACAAAATTGGAAAGAAAATTGGTCTAGGCTGGGTTTTGAAGTTCGTCTAAACACTAATCTTCTATTTGCGTATAATGATTTTTTGAGCATTGTCCTTATAAACCCTATAAATAAATAAACCCTAGCTTATATCGATTACAAGATTTTGAAAATTGTCTTATATAAAATGGTCTTATAACATACTTGTTTAAGGAATCCAGCGCCAAAAGCACGTGTGACTTTTAGAGAACCTTTCACTCTATCTTTCTCTATCGCCAATGAATCATCAGGATGTTCCATCTTGATTCTTCTCACTTCCTGTCACGTCCGAAATATATTTATATAATCAGTATTCATATATAATGTTGACGATCAAGACAAAAAATTTTTTGAATCAAGACTCACAAAAGATTACCTCTTTATTGTTCGTGCTATGTTCCATATTAAGCTGAACAGGAACCAAAAGATTCAATCCTTTTTCTCGGACCAAGAATGTCTCTAATGGACTCTCTTCTTTGATTCTCTCAAGCTCGATTTGCATCTTAGTCTTCCGCTGCCTCCTTAGATCAGGTCTTCTAGCCAAAACCGCTCGGCTATCTCCAACACTCATCACGTAAACATCTTCTCCTTTCATCAACGTCACAAGAACACAAGATCCCATCAGTGCTAGCTCTGGATTCTCATCTACCTTCAGATCAAACGCTTCTTCTGTTTTCTTCAACGCTTGTTGAAGAGCTCTCAAAACGTCTTTATGGTTAATCATCTCCAAATCAGATTCCTTGTGCGTAGAATTGCTGTTCCACTCGCATCTCCATTGCAACTTCTTCATATTATCGGCTATGTTTCTTGACTCACAAGAAACAGAGTCTTCTTTCATTACTTCCATGTTTCTTGAGTCACAAGCAACTATTTCTTCTTTCATTACATGGCAGTTTCTTTTACCAGAATCAGAATCTTGGTCGAGTATACTCTGTTTCTTGATCTGGGACGTGCTATATGATCCAAGATCCTCGGATTCTAACGTGTCGTTCCATAGCAAACCTTTGAGCTCTTTAAGCACGGCGGTGTAGAGATTGTTGAGAAGATAATCCGGTGGATCTGGACCGCTAAATCCGTCGTAAATCCCGACGAAAAGCCAACCATTTTCCTCAGAAAGGATGACATGAACTCTATCTTCCCCTGCTTTCCCCTGCGCCCATTGTATCTTTGGCTCATCCTCTAAAACAGACTCACTCTTCTCTTCTTCTTCCGAATCTTCTTGAAAGTCTTCTCGTTCTTTAGTTCGAGGACTTTCTTGTCTTCTCATACTTGTCTTGATCTCATCGGAATCTGAAGATTCGTTAGAGGAATACGAACCATCGATTGGCTCAATCACACTCTTCTTACAACGAGAAGAGATTAGGTTTGTGAAGATAGTTTTGAATGTGAGAAGTTTCTTATTAGGTTTAGGTTTCGAAAACGATTTGATCTTTTTTGTTTTCTTCTTCTTCTTCTTGTCCTTCCGAACCGGACCTGAAACCAAACCGCTTTCATTCGGACCGGATAAAAACCGTCGCTCGAACAGACCCGACTCGTGACCCGGTTTCTTTATCGGGCTACGCGGGACAGGCTTGAGCGGCAAGGAAGCGAATCTATTAGAGCTCTCGAACCCTGAGGCTAACAACGAAGCGTCTGTTGACGGAGAAGCAGAGAGCGCCGTGGAAGTATTGGCGCTAACGGAAGCGCCGGAGATTGACCGGAAAGTAGTGGTGGCTCCAGGGATGGTGTCGTCGTGTCGGAGGAGAGAAGGTTCTGTCTGAAAAGAAGAATCTGATTGGTTGGTAACTGGTCGGACATAACAGAAAGAATGACCTAAGTTGTCATGAACGGGTACGACGTCGTATCGTTTGGAAATGTCTCCGGAGGTGGTTCCCGCGCAACAACTACTGGCTCCATTCCCCATTTTTGTAAGATTTGGCCCAAAAAAAAAAAAAGTCAGCTATGGAAAAAGACGACACCGTTTTAGTGGAGGCGAAGCGTGTCGTGTCGCATGTTGGAGGCGAGAAACGGGAGACGTTGGTAGAAAGGAGATTTTGTGGAGACATTAATGAATAGGTTTTTGAGTATTTATGTTGTGGAGGCTTTGTGGTGATCAGAAGATGAAAAGAGTTGACTTTTTATAAGAGGTTTATTCTGTTGGTATTTTTATATTGGAATTGGTAAAACCTGTAAATGACAATTATAATGTCTCTTGTTGTATTTTACATTACTTCTTGGGTAAATTTTTTCGTTATTCAATTTAATAAACTTTTTTGGAGTTGACATTTAGAGAAGGGTACGTGTGGTTTTGGTTTTTTTAAACTAACAGAAAAGTAGGAAATTATTAAACTAATGGAATGCAAAAAGTCAAAGGATGTGGATGTTAATCCCATGAGTAATGTGGTTTAGACTAGTCGCTACAAAGAAACGAATTGTAGGAAACTTTATTTAGCTTCTATCTAGGGAAAGGCAAATCTATGTGCTGATGACTTAACAAAATATGACAAATCTATGTGTTGATGATGACTTAACAAAATATGCTATTCAAGAAATAACAACCGTAAGTAAAATAATACTCCCCATCTTTTAAAAAGAGTTTTTTTATAAAGAGTGTCATCTTGACATTTAAAAAAAAAACTATATTAATTTTTTTAACATATATCAATTTTAAACTCACCTAAAATTGAAATGTATTTAATATCATCACAATGACAACTGACTGGAATAAATAAAATTAGCTATGATTTTTGAAGCAGAATTTTTTAGTACTTTTTAAATTAGTGTGCATAGTACTAAATGATATTTTGTGAAATGAAGAGAGTAATAATCAATTGTTAAAAACATTAAAACAAATTCTCCAAGATGAGAGATAATTATTTAATTTATTGGTTAGGGTTGTTCCATTACTGTCTCATTAATTCTGTTTTAGTACATATGAAAACATGTCTATTCAGCAAGTCATAACTTTTTTTTTCAGAAAAAAAAGTCGTTTAACTAATTACGTTTTAGAAAGATGTTTACTAATATTTTTTTTTTGCTTATGTAGAAAACTGGTTTAGTCATTTTTCCAAATGTGATAAAACACAATGTTATTACTGGCCCCCAACCATTTAAATATTACATCCTTTTAATAATAAAGGCCGTTATAAATAACACACTAATATTCAAACTTTATGTGTGAATATCGCAATGACTAAGTATGAATGCAGAATACAAAATTATCATTTTAACAGATTGGAAACTAATATCATAAAAAGATACCAGATATTCCTTAAGGAGCAGCTGGCTGCTTACGTTGCGATATGCATTGCATGAACTGTGCAATAAAATTTCCTAATTAAAGAAAAAAAAAAGCTTTTGAAAATTTCAACATACCATTTCCAATTTTTTACAGACCTCAATAATATAATAAATTGATAATTATACTACTACTGGTCTATGAGAATAACTCAATCAACTGCCATGATCAGGAGTTCATCAGGACAGAGTGTTCGAACATTATTTCAAAGAAAATATTATAATATAAGTCAATTAGTTTATCAGCTTATCAATAGATTAGGCTTAAGCACGTAATTACATTTTGTGGATCTTTATAAAAAAATTGTCAACGATGTCGAGATTGAGAACGTGGAAGCAAAGAGTTTTGAGATTAAAATCTCATCTAATCTCTGACTTTTTCCTACATATATCGTGATTTCTTAAACTATATTACACCAATATACATGTGGTAAAACTACAAGTAGGAGGAGGTAACGTAAGGATGCATACAATCAGGAGTTATTTATATTTTTGAAAATTTTATTCGATTCTTAACGAGTTTAAATATTCAAACAAGTAGTTGTTTAGTGTCTGCTTTTAGTAAAAAAGAACAAGCTACTAAAAATAATACCTTGATTTTTCTTTAGAAAGGGTTCTTGACCTTACCCCTCTTGTAGTTGCCTTAACGCAACATTCTTGTTTAGACGTGTAGAGGACATACCTCATTGGTATGGTTCGTCACATCCAGCCTTCTTCTTTCTCCATGAAGATGTCAAGAATAAAAAATCACACATTGAAAAGAAAGACAGAAAGAACATTAATGGTTGATAACTCTAAAAGACAACACATTTGTTTTTAACCTTTTTCTTCCTTCATAATCTGACTTTTAAGAGTGATACAGTCCAATAAAACTTTAGAAGCTGCCCCCAATTTTTTAGAGTTATATGTAGACATATGCTCCCAAATTATGATTTATAATATTAACATTCTTAATAAGTGTTTATACCCCCTAAAATCTCAAATCCGGCCGAGTATCCGAAATAAAAGCTACATTATAACGATTAAGATTTAGTTTTCTTCCCCATTACCATGGATACTTTTATCAAGCCTCCATGTTCTTCTGTGCTACTATTTGCTTAAACGTATTCAAATCTTTTGTTATGTAGTCAATTGACTAAATTAAACATAATTGCAACCGTTTTTAATAGTTGCTAGTTGTTCTTTGGTTTTGGACTATGTTATCTCAAAGATCTCAATATCTACTGCTCTGTTAAAACTGGAACTTCTTTATACATAATAACCAACCTTATTTCAGTACATTAAGATCACAACGTTATATACATATGCAATCTCAAGAGATTCCAACGTGGAAGTATGCCAATGTGGACTGTGAATATGTGTTGCTTTTGTAATAAAGTCTCTCTCGGTGACGAATCAACTACTTTAAATTCAAAGAAGGTGAATTTTTCTATTAGAATTCTTCATGCTTCAAGAACAAGAAAACCCTTTGTGACTCACCGGATTCATCCAGAAGCGGATGGATTGGTCAATTCAGCTATAACTTATAAGGCAAGTTTAAATGAACTTCAAGGACAAGAGGGGTTGCACGGGTAAGGACAATCAATTAGCTTAACCGGTTTTCGGTTAAAGTACCAGTCACCTACAGAGTCTGCAATTGTCTGTTCCAATAAATAAAAAATCAGAAGAGAGAAAAAACCTGATCAGTTCAACTGTAAGAAGAAAGCAACAGATTGTGTGTCAAAGATTATTTACCTTGTTTTCGATTCTTGTTGAAGTTGGGGAATGCCATGTTGCAGTAACTGTCTGGCAATGAGTGAAGCATGAATCTATGAACATCCCACCAGCTTTGTTCTGATTAAACTTCCCTATGGCATCCATCAGAGAGCTGCGAAAACCTGCAGATCAAAAAGGACTTATGCAACTAACCAATTTATAAAACAATACTAAAGGAGTAATCTACCGTGTAGAACTTCCATCTGTGCAGCATCACATTCCTTAATATTCAGTCTGCACTTTGCCCAGCTCTTATCTGAATCAGCAGAAGCTGGTACCAAGACATTCTGAATCTGAATATGTTCTTGATATTAGTACCAAAATTTGGAAAAAAAGATCAAATAGAAACAGGAGAAAAGTTATAACCTGCCAAGAATCATAAGCTGAGTTGACAAGGAAGACTGGTGTTCTTATGTTGTTAATGAATTCTTGAGGAAACATACACTGCAAATCATATGTTAAGCAAGTCGCAGAACCAATCATGATCAATCCAGAAAGATAGAAACCTTACCTTAGATGGATCCGTTTTGGTTATACATTTCTGATCCAAGCTCTTATCTACGCCCTGGTTGGAATCAGCCATAGCAAAATCATCACAGAACCATGCAAAGAAAGAAGCCATGACATGTTCTTGTTCATATAAATGAAGAATTCAAGAAAAGTATGTTTTCAACTAGAAAGTGAATGACAAACCTGCAAGGTCACAACATCATGATAGAAAGATCTTATTGTAGGGTTTCCAAGTACATCAAGCCTGAAAAAGAAGAGAAAATAGCTTTGCTGAGACTAAAAGACACTATTAAGATGATTCCACATTGACAGTAACTTTCTAGCTCTGTGGAGTAATATTCTTACAGGTTTTGCTTCTTTAAACTAGCTTACACCCAAAGAACTTAACAACAACAAAAACAGCACTAGAACCTTGACAAGTCTGTAAATTTTATTAGTAAAGGAAAATTTATGAGAGGAAACATACACGTTGAGAAAGAAGCCACCATCAGAAACACATTTGACATCAGAATCTTTAGGGAGATGATCACGAAAGTAGTCACAATGTATAAGAGTTGCCAAGCCACCAGCAGAACATCCTGTAAGTATTCCCTACAATTTCCTCTAGCTGATATTAATCTCTATCTGATGCAAAACTATTATATAAGATACCTGTTTGGCATCTGACATGCCCATCGACAACAGCTCATCCATAATAGCCTCCCAAATGAGTTGGCCTCTGAAGAAAAGCCCTGTTCCGTTCTGAGAAGAGAGAAACATGAAAGACAATGAATCTTTTATTGCTCAAGATAGAAACTGACACAAATGCTCAGCCTTACTACCTTGAATTCAGCTTCAGGGTGTCCAGCAAAAGAAGCACCATCACAATAACGTATCACAACTCTGTTCCAGTTAAAGAACTCTACAAGAAGAACAAAGACAACTATACATTCAAAACATCACATAGACAAGCATTACAAGACGACTATATATAGGTTTATCTCGTACCAGGATTTTGAGATGGGTCACTGCTTAAAACACCTGGAAACTCAACTTCATCTTCAAAGTAGTTGGAAGAGCCTAACCTAGTCATTGCTCGATCAGAACACGACGCTATCGTGTTGCACCAGCCTCCACCTTGAAGATGAATTAGCCAGCTTTTGGATCCAGTTCCTGAACCCTTGTCAAAATGGTACCCAGGCAAGCTTCCATCCAAGCAAACTACAAAAGATCATCACTTTCAATAAAAAAAAAAAAAAAGAAAAGGAGGAGGAGACAGTACATGCTCCTCTTTCTTTAGCTGTACTAGACAACTTGAGTTTGACCAGATTAGGTGGGGACGTAATGGAGGGGAGGACAGTGGGATCGAAGAAGAAAGAGAGGAATAACAAGACCAAGACTAATCCAGTGGAAGCCACAAGCCAATCGCTCTTAGCCCATTTTCTGCAAGGTAGCAGAGAGCTAAACCTGAGAATCTCCATTACAGAACAGGCCACAAAAGGAGACATCAGTCAGGAGAATGTTGTTTATTCCTTACAATATGTGGGTCCCCACTATATAGTAACCACCAATCAAATGAATACTCAACAGTCAATTGAAAAGAACCTCCTAACTACTTAAACCAGGTTAGGTTGACCGACCAAGAAAAAACAACTTACCGATAATACCGGTTTAAACAGCAGATGAGAAAAGAGTTAGACCCATTTAAGTATTCTTTTCGGTCTAGTGATATTAAATGGGCTTTACTAGGCCCATTAAGGAGACTAGGGTTTTCTTTTTGTTCTCTCTCTTTGATTAAAAGCGGCTTCATATATAAATCCTGTTCCTCCATTTCTAGGGTTTCTAATACACTGAGCCAAAGAAGAGTAGCAGCAGCGGCGGAACAGGAGTGAAGAACACGATGGGTATGTCGATGAGTCACAGCTAAAATATTTTGATTCGGAACCTCGTAAATCGTATTCGTCTGATTGTATTTTCGTGTATGTAGCGAGGATTAAGGTTCATGAATTGAGGGACAAGTCGAAGAGCGATCTGCAGAATCAGCTCCAGGATCTTAAGGCTGAGCTCGCTCTCCTCCGTGTCGCTAAAGTCACCGGTGGTGCTCCCAACAAGCTCTCTAAAATGTACGTTATTACACTACTATATTCTTACAAACTTAAGATTATTACACTTGTTTGATTTCGAGGTTTAGGATGTCGAAAACGAGTTAACTCATTTCTTGATTTATGTGTATTATTGATGAGAATTCGAATTTTAATGTGTTTTTATTACGTTTCATGGTTTTTATTGCATCTGTGTTACATGTAAAGATGTTTGAATCTGAAACTGTTTTGTGTTTTGTAATAAAACAGCAAGGTTGTCCGAAAATCAATAGCTCAGGTGTTGACCGTGACTTCTCAGAAGCAAAAATCTGCACTTAGAGAGGCATACAAGAACAAGAAGTTCATCCCTCTTGATCTCCGTCCCAAGAAGACCCGTGCTATCCGCAGACGCCTCACCAAACACCAGGTCGGCTTTCATTTTTGACCAAAATTACAACATTGATTAATCATTTGTCTTGTTTCTTATATGTTTTTCTCGGTTTTTTTTTTGTTTGTCCTTGCAGCTCTCGTTGAAGACGGAGCGTGAGAAGAAGAAGGAGATGTATTTCCCAATCAGGAAGTACGCTATCAAAGTTTAAACTATCTTTCTACTAGAGACTCTGTTTCAGCTTTTGTGTTTTTGATGGAAACTTGTTTTGTTCTTCGCTTTGTGCTATTTTGTCAAACAGTTTCACCAACATGGATTTTGCTTCCTATTGATATTTTGCATTTTCTTAACTTCGTGCTAATATTCTACTTAAAAGGAGCTGAAATTTAAGCAAAATGAAAGGCACTCTCCATTTTTAACTGTATGTGTGTTGTTTATAGTAAAACACAAAGATGAGTTAACGCATAATATAATTGAGTTATAAACTTGTTTATGCTTTCAAACCATGAAACCTAGTATTATCATGGAATTATAAAGTTCTCACTTCTAAATATGCTTATCATGTTAAGGCTGTTACAGAACTCGGAAAGAATTGAGTTATAACTTATAAGCATATGTTCATGGGGAACTAAAAGGAATATTTTCTCATATGCAACTGAACACCAGGTGGAACTCGAAGTTCAAACATGATCCATCGTTAAAGATAATTGAACCAGTCAGTACCTTCTTTAAATTTATCTTCCTAAATCCCAACCAAAATGGAAAAGAATATGCGACCACAGTGGGAGTCGAACCCACGACCTTTTGATCCGAAGTCAAACGCGCTAATCCACTGCGCTATGCGGTCCTTGTTGTTGCTATATATTACAACTCTCTCTGAAATTGCAAATTTGAGACCAGGATATTTTGGTATGAATATCTAGGATTCCATCAAATTTTATTTGGAAAATAGTATATAACATGGAACAATGTAATCAAATATCAAAGAATGTTATTTAAAAGTATGTGGCACGTAGTGAAATATACGCACACAGATAAGTCTTGTCTGCTCTAGTTTTATGTAAAGCACTGAGACAGTGTCATAAAATGTGCTACATGCATATGCCTTTTTAGTAGGGGGTGAGTGCGGGACAAGTATTTGCCAATTTTTCGTTATTTGTTACTTGACTTGTTCAAGTAATTCCATTTACTATTCGTACTAAATTTGTTTAAAACAAGTATTTGTTTTATCAAGTATTTGCAATTGGGAATTTGCACTCCCTACACACAACTAATATATTATTGGTTCTTCCCATTATCAATTTTTCTCCCCAAAATTAAAGTATTCAACACCTTTTAGTATTTTGAGCAAATTGACTCTTTGTAATTTTTAACCACAGATGTGGTTGTCCAGTTGGTTTAAGCGCATGCGTTGGTGATGTTGCATTCCTGGATTTGATCCACTATGAGAGGAATGCTTTATACTATAGGCCTTTTCACCATAGTAGAAGTTACCCGCCGGATCCCGAACTTGGGAGATTATGGGCTTTGTCCCCAGAACTTCTAGATATTCAAAAAAAATAAAAAATATTTGCAATTTTTTGTTATAGTTGTAAGTTCCTTGTTATTCGATAAATGAAGTACTTATTTTCTTGATTACTTGCAAGTGATCATAGTGAACATCCAATTAATACACACATTCTAGATCTTAACATCTAAAAAGTATATAATTTTTTTAAAAAGTAGACAAAAATGAAAATAAACATTCAAAATATTGAAAGACCACATAAAAACTTGTACTTCCTCCACTTTATTTTGATGTTCTAAAAGATTATTGTAAAGCAAACAATGACAAGGCAAGTAGTATTTTCCAGGTAACAAATAGTATCTAGCAAGTAACGAATATTTTGTAAGACTAGTAACAAATAACAAGTAACTAGGCAAATATTAAAAATAAAATGATATTTGATATTTGTTTTATTCCTTATAAGTAATGAAATATGTTGATTTGTTACTTAATTTGACAACCCTAAATATTTAAATTTTTAAAGCGAATACGGAACAAGTAACGAATATAAAGTGAATATCGCCTCGGACCTAGTGCATATGACTATCAATCCGGTGGATTGGCCGACTTTCGCGACAAAGATCAAGGTGTTCTAGAGATTACAAAAGGATTTCAAGGATATGAGTCTATCTAATATTCCTAAGAGTATGAATGGTCGAGCAGATGCACTAGCAAAAAAAGTCAGATGCTACATCTTTTCCCATATAGATCAGTCCCGACTAGATAAAAGTGCTCCTGAGAGAATCAATTCGTCTAACCACCACTTTATCTATCATAGATGGGCAGCCGACAGAAAAAAATAAAAATAAAAATGAAGCGATATCGAATAATGATACCCAACACTACTTTTTTTTTTTTTTATAACACTGATACGTAAAAGTATTCAAGACAGGACATAATAGTAGAGAATTATAGAAGAAAAAAAGGGGATGTCAGTAGACATCAAAATTAAAGAACAATAATGAGATAGAAATTCACCCAATCGTTAACAGTTGAGCCTCCAAAGCGAGCAGGTGGTGTAACCCAACACTACTTTTTAGTACTCTTGCATTAAGAAACATATATGTATATTTTTCATGTCTAGGTTTACTGGAAACAAAATAAAACATTGTAAGACGGTCGAATAAAATTAGGTTTACTGGAAACAAAATAAAATTATGGGCTTTGTTTTTTTTTCCAACAAACAATATTTTCTCGAATGTTCCAAAACGAAAATAGAATCTGTGTCTATGACGATGACGCGTGAAGGGCAAAGATGAGTCAAAGGTCTTCCTTATATTTCTGACTCATTTTGGTAAGCACAACGATTAACTCCCTAAATAATTCATTATCGTTGTATAACAGATAAATAAGTCTACAAACTTATCTCTTCTAACGACCGCTTCCCTGAATCTAGACTCAGTGGTAGGTTCTTCAAAAAGGGAACCACCTTCACCATCTGGTTCTTGAATCCATCCACACAAAAGCAAGGCGTTACATTTCTTTAATGTAAGAAACTCTTTTCTTTCCCCCTTCAAGCTTCCTGCAACAACAAAAACATTTAAACATGATGAGAACCATAACCGGTTTCAGCTTCTTCTCAAAAATAACTTACTCCAAAAAGAAACCTAATCCATCAATACCTAAGAAAGGTTTCGACTCATCAGAGATCGACCGTACCATCGATAATGCAGCAGAGATCATCGAGAAATGGAACACAGAGTACGTCACCACAACGAAATTCTATTCTCTGTTTTGTGAGAGCAAGAAAGAAGCCAAGAAGTTCTTGAAAGGCGTCAAGGATATACAGAATGCCATGGATTCGTTGATTAAAGAAGATCCACACTCTGAGAATCTCCTCAGAGCGCAGAAGCTAATGCAGATCGCTATGAAACGTCTCCAGAGCGAGTTTTACCAGATTCTTTCAATGAACCGTGCGCATCTAGATCCTGAAACCGTCTCTACCTACGGTGAGGACGTTAGGCACGAGTATCGTCTTGTTGGTGACTCAATCTTTGACGTTGAAGAGGTCTCCAAGAACTCTATGAAGGAGCTCAAGTCCATCGCTGAGTGCATGATCGCAGCTGGTTACGCGAAAGAGTGTGCGAGTACTTATAAATCGTTTAGAAAATCGATAGTAGACGAAGGGATTTATCGTCTCGGAGTTGAGAAGATAAGCTCTTCCAAGGTTAAGAAGATGCCTTGTGAGGTTGTTGAGATGAAGATGAGGACATGGATTGATGCGGTTAATGTCGCGATGAAGACACTCTTCACCGGAGAGAAAACATTATGTGATGATGTCTTTGAAGGCTCTGTTTCTCTCAGAGAGTCATGTTTCCGTGACATATCTAAAGAAGGAGCTCTGCTTCTGTTAGGGTTACCTGAAAGTCTTGCCGTGAGAGACAAGAAATCTCCAAACCCTAAAAAGATTTTTAGTTTACTTGATATGTACGTCACCATCACCGATAATTTACCGGCGATTGAGTCCATCTTCTCGTTCCAATCGGTCTCCGCGGTTCGGTCTCAAGCTCTCAACTCGCTTAACCGACTCAGTGAGTCTATTCTCTCTCACCTGGTGGACTTTGAGTCCGAGATAAGGAAAGACTCGTCGAAGACGGTGGTCCCTGGCGGAGATGTGCATCCGATGACCATCTCCGCCATGGACCACCTCATTCGCCTCGCCGAGTACAATGGTTCTCTCGTGAACATACTCAAAGGATCATCTTCTTCCGCTAAAGCATTGCTTCCTAAGTCTTACTTCAACGTCACGCATGAATCAGAGGGATCTGAGGTGAGAGTGCGATTCGCGTGGATGATCCTCGTCCTCCTCTGCAAGATCGACGGCAAAGCTGAGATGTACAAGGACTTCTCCGTGCAGTATCTCTTCTTAGCCAACAACCTCCACCACGTGGCGTCACGCGCACGTTCCTCCACGGGCCTTAAGCATCTCCTCGGGGATGAGTGGATCGCGAGACATTTCGAGAAAGTCAGACAGTTCGCGAGAAGCTACGAGAGGCTCGCGTGGGAGCCGCTCGCGTCGATGTGTCCCGGGGAGAAGGTGGAGATGTCTCCGGAGGAAGCGAAGAGGCAGCTCGAGATGTTTAGTGAATGTTTCGAGAACACGTGCGAGTCGCAGAGCACGTGCGTCGTATCTGATCAGAAACTGTTGGAGGAGATGAGAAGTTCCATCGTGGGGAAGCTGTTGCCGGTTTATCGTGATTTTTACAACGCTCATGTAAATTCTGTTATGTTGGCGGGAATGGAAGGTGGGTGGAATGTCAGGTATACCCCTGAAGATGTGGGAAAGTACTTGTCGGAGTTGTTTAATGGGAAAGATGTTTTGGAGAAGTCATGTGTGTTTCGGACATCTTTTGGTCTTGTTACAAGTCCTAGCGCTTCTCGACGGAAGAGGCGATCTTTGTCATGCAGGAGATTTTGAAGGGGGAAATATATTTTGAAAGATAGAATAGTGATAGTATTCTATCAATTTTATGTTCATCCTTGCTTTGCGTTTATTATCTTCATGTTACTTAAAATTACGGTATAACCATAAATGATATGGTAAGCCACTGAAAAATGTTCTCTCGTTATATGTATGAACGTATGAGCTATATTAATTCAGAATACTACAAAGGATAAAACTAACAAAATGAAAATAACAAAAAGAAGAGAAACCAACCATAGTTGGAGCTTCAACACAATTTATTTACCACCTATCTACTTGATCTTTTGATAGATATAGACTATATAGTCCATAGTAACAATAGTTATAACATAAGCACGATAGCTAAACAAAAACAAAGTCTTTTGGTCTGATCAACAAACATAAAGTTAATTATATCTATTCTATTAAAATAAATTCATTTTTTTTAATCTACTGATACAAGTTGTCATTTAAATTTGGACTTTTTTCTAGAGTGTTACAAATAATACAAGTTATATAGTTGATTGAACCACATTACTTAAATTAAACCGGCGGTTATTTATGGAATGTAGTTTTGGGCTTACTTTTGTTTTTATGACATTTAATTGTTTGGTTTTTGGGCTTAGTATTTAAGAAAACTCCAAAAAACATTAAATAAACTTTCCACCTTAATGAATCAAATATCAATTACTATTTTCAGGCCCAAAAATATTAAATATTTTCAAGAAAAAAAAATTATTTATTATTAATCACTTATTTAAATCATGTACTTTAAAACATGTTAATATTTTTTAGCCCAAAAATATTTAATATTTTCAACAAAACAAAATTATCTATTATTAATCACTTATTTAAATCATGTACTTTAAAACATGTTACTATTTTTTATTTTAAATAACAATCACTCTATCTTGATAAATTTTAATGGTAACTTTTAAATAATTTATTATTTTATTTTTCTTAAATAATTTACAGATTTTAAAAAAATGGAAAGCAAAACCAAAAACCAAATCTAAAAACTAAAATCCAAAACCAAAAGCTGAAAACGCAAGTTATATTTTTTTATTTTTTTTATTTACAAAATAAACTATTTCAAAATTTTTAGAAAATTATTTTGTCATCTTTTCAGTTTTAAATTACATGTTCGATTAATTGAGATTTGTTTGTAGGTAATATCAGTTCAAACTAACTCAGCGGGTCTAAAAATTAAAAAACCAAACCAAAAGTTGAAAATCAAAAATAGAAACTTAAAAACTAAAAACCAAAAACCAAAATTTAAAATAAAATCTAAAACTAAAAACTGAAACTACAAACTAATGAAAAACAAATATCACCATAAATTTTAGCAAACTAATTTTATACCAAAACATTCTTTAAATTAAGACAAAACCCAATTATATAAATTTTTAATCATAAAAAATTTCTGCGCTTTTCAAGTTGGTAAATGTTGACCCAAAAATATTTAAACTATATTAAATTGGTATTCCACTTGTCATTCATTTAGTAATAGTTAACCGTAAAATATCTTATGTTTATATTTGATAGAAGTGATCATATTTACGAAATGATGTATTAAGTTCAAACATGTAATCCATGTTTTCTATGACATATTGCTTATGAATAACCAGGAATTAGAAGGAACGAGAATAACCAGAGATATCAATCGCTGGCCTAGACCAAGAGAGCATAACAATACTTTAATACAATCACTTTGTTAATCAAAGAGTAGCTTTTATAGAAACCATACAATCATGCGACGTAAAGTAATGGTCTGCAGACTACAGGTTACCATGCATAATTTTTTTGTTTAGCTAAGATTTATTTCATCGCATGACACATACATTTGTTAAGACAAGATTATGGGATCGCAGACGGTAGTATCTAATTACAGAGCAATCATTATCATTATCTCTAAAAATAATTATAATAAATATTTTAGAAAATATAATAGTTTACGATTACAGAGCAAACATTCTAAAAAAGGGTTAACTAATAGATGAGTTTACAACACCATATGTTCTGTCTTTTGTGTGTAAGCTGCTGACGTGGTAATATTATCCCTAACTGAAAAAACAAAGAAGGATCGAAAGAAGACAACCCAAATTACTCGCCCAAAAAAAAATGCCAAAAATGTATGCTCTCTGCTTCATATGAAACCATAATCAGATCTCAAACCCCTTGCCGTGACGGTGAAGGCACCGTTGGCAACCGAGTACGACGAATCTCACAACCAGAATCTGTGGTCTATCATGATCCCGCTTTGAAAGCTCTCTTCTTTTATCTCTGAAAATGGGATCCAGAATCCAAGAAGGTAGATATCGATGAATAGTATAAGAAACATGAAACAAATTTTCATTGCCCTTCATTTTTAAATTCTGATTCAAATCGTTAAGAGAATCTGTTTCGGAATTAGAAAACGTGTGATTAGATTAGCTACACTTTTTAGGGTTAGGTCTTAAATTGTCTTTGATGGATTTGTCATTTGCGTGACAATCAAGCAAACAATGCATTATCAATCTGACTCTCGCAGAGAAGGAGCTAGAACCGGATATGGAGAAGGGTTTGGCGATAGATCCGGTGAGTCCGGCAGGGAGTATTGTAGCGGACCTGTCGTCACCAACTCCAACACCAAGAAAGACTCTGGTTCTATCCAATTCTGGTAAGGCTTTAATGGTGTCTAACTCAAGCAAGTCCTTAGGACTTTCCAATTCGGGAAAACGGTTTGATCCAACGGGTAAAAAGAAGTATGTGAAACAAGTCACTGGTCGCCACAACGACACTGAGCTTCACCTAGCTGCTCAACGAGGAGATTTGGCTGCTGTTAAGCAGATTCTTAGTGACATTGATTCTCAAATTACTGGTACCATTTCAGGAGCTGACTTTGATGACGAGGTATGATATGATGGTGACTTCCTCTCTCATATTTAAATCTAAAAATGAAACTTGTTTTGATTCTATTGTCTTGTGTTGAAAACTGTAAAGGTAGCACAAATAATGACAGCTGTGGTAAACGAGGTGAATGAGTTGGGAGAGACGCCACTTTTTACAGCAGCAGAGAAAGGCAATATTGATGTTGTGAAAGAGCTTTTGTGTTACACCACCAAAGAGTCTCTTATGCAGAAGAATCTTTCTGGATTTGACGCTTTACACATTGCTTGTAGTCAAGGCCATCGAGGTGAGCCTCACTAACCAAGTCTCACATCGATAGTTAGAAAAATAATTAACTAATATTTTTTCGAAAAGTAAAAAACGGTTTATTTATAGCCAATTCTTTTAAGTTGAAAACCAACGATAAAGCGTGGATTGAACAAAAACAAAGATTGCATTGTTTTTTTTTCTTTCTAACGGTGATATTCTTTTATTGCAGATATTGTCCAGTTACTGCTTGAGCATGAACCTCTATTGAGTAAAACAGTAGCTCAATCAAACGCAACACCACTTGTCTCAGCTGCAACGCGAGGGCATGCAGAAGTAGTTAATGAGTTGCTTGCTAAAGACTCAAGCTTACTTGAGATTTCAAGATCTAATGGGAAAAACGCGCTTCACCTAGCTGCACGTCAAGGTCATGTAGAGATCGTGAGAACGTTGCTTGATAAAGATCCGCAGTTAGCAAGACGAACAGACAAGAAAGGACAAACGTCTTTACATATGGCTGTGAAAGGAATTAGCTCAGAAGTCGTGAGATTACTCCTTAGAGCTGATCCAGCTATCGTCATGCTTCCTGATAAGTTTGGTAACACCGTGTTGCACATCGCTACACGTAAGAAAAGAGCAGAGGTAAAATGACAAAGTTGATTGTTTCACACTTTATTTGTTGTTCGGTTTGATTCTTGATTCTTGTTTTATGATTATTGATTATTGATTCTTGTTATAGTATTCTTGATTCTTGTTTTATGATTCTTGATTATTGTTTCTTGTTTTATAATTCTTGAGTCTTGATTTTTCTTTTCCTGTTTTATGATTCTTGATTATTGTTTCTTGTTTTATAATTCTTGATTCTTGATTTTTCTTTTCTTGCTTAAATTAATTCTTGCTTTATGATTTTGGTTTCTTGATTCTTGTTTTGCATTCTTGATTTATGATTCTTGATTCTTGTTTTGATATGCAGATTGTGAATGAGCTGTTACAACTTCCGGATACAAACGTGAATGCACTAACACGAGACCATAAAACAGCTTATGACATAGCTGAAGGACTCACACATTCAGAGGAAACACAAGAGATCAAAGAGATATTATCCCGTTGTGGAGCGCTCAAAGCCAACGAACTGAACCAGCCAAGAGACGAGCTACGAAAAACAGTGACCGAGATAAAAAAAGACGTCCACACGCAGCTAGAACAAACCCGAAGAACCAACAAAAACGTGGACGGAATCGCCAAGGAGCTAAGGAAACTCCACAGAGCTGGAATCAACAATGCGACCAACTCGGTAACCGTGGTGGCTGTCCTCTTCGCCACGGTGGCATTCGCCGCCATTTTCACGGTTCCAGGAGGCGACGACGACAACGGTGTGGCCGTGATGGTCCACGCAACATCATTCAAGATATTCTTTATATTCAACGCCATTGCGCTCTTCACTTCGTTAGCAGTAGTTGTCGTGCAGATCACGTTAGTGAGAGGGGAGACTAAAACGGAGAGACGTGTGGTGGAAGTAATCAATAAACTGATGTGGTTGGCATCTGTCTGCACCAGCGTGGCGTTCATTTCTTCCTCTTACATTGTGGTTGGTCGGAGAAATAGATACGCAGCGATTGTGGTTACGGTTATAGGAACCGTGACTATGACGGGGATTTTGAGTATAATGACTTATTATGTTGTGAAGTCTAAGAGGACGAGGAAGGTGAGGAAGAAGGAGAAGAAGAAGAAGTTTGGTAGAAATGGAACGGGCTCGTGGCATAATGCGAATCCGTCCGAGACTGAATCGGAGGTTAATCCAATTTATGCTATCTGATCGATGATGATTGATTGATTATCAATGGAAACTTATGTTATTTTTGTTCTTGATCTATGTAAGTGTAGTTTCTCTTACTAAGGTCTCATACATAACATTTGTCACATTTTATATAATTTTTTTTTTCATATTGTATCAACTCCCTACATGAGACATTACAAATGAGAGACAAGTTCCTGCTCTTTCTTGTGTACAACGTCATTAAAAAGGCTTACAAAAGTTTAATAATGTCTTAACATATTTCACCAAAAAAAAGAAGGTTTAATAATGGAGTTCCCACAACCGCCAATGTTTTACCCATATGTAGCTCGTTTCTAACTGATTTATCTAGTCAACATCTTCATGTGGAGTGAATGTTTAAGCAAACACACTTGAAAACAACCACAATTCCATTTTTGTCTAAATTTCGGAGTAAACTGCGCCAAGAAACTCCATTTAAGGTAATATGAGTGGTTAAAGAGACACTCAAAATCCGCTGATGTTCATTTCTTACAAGAGGTTTTCAGAACCTTGTAGAGTTAGTTACAATATTCTAAAAATCAGTTTAACATCTACAAATTAGTCATAAGTAAAACAAATTTTCTATACAAATTAGGCAGCCGCAAAACACTTATCCTCCATAAAGCACATAATTACGGCTTAACGATTTCTTGAACAGTAGTGTACTTGCATACCTTAACGGTTGGAAGTTAAAACAAAATCTAAAAATATACATCAGTTTTATGGTTTCATGTGTTTTGTATCAACCCAAAAATAAGAATTAAACAAACTGTTGAAAAATGGCAAACCTCTTAACTGAATAACGTAACAAAAACAAACCTTAGAAACAGAGAAACTCACGATGAGACACGACAATAACACAAAGACGTGGAGATGTCTGCGACGTTGTCTCACACATCATCATGTCTTCTCTTTCTCTTCCTCCTCTTCTCCGACCATCACTCCGCCGCCGGAACTTTCATCCCTCGCATGGGAAATGCAGCTGCACGTATGTTGAACAGAGCCAGAAAAGCAAGACAAGCAAGGGAGTTTCTAAACGCTCACAACGTAGCGCGTGAGTCTTCAGGCGTGCCACCTCTCAGATGGGACAGAGGCCTGGCCCGTTTCGCTCATAAATGGGCCCAACAGCGTAAGCCCGATTGCAGTATGCAACATTCAGGTGGGTCTTACGGCGAGAACATTTTTTGGTACCGTGAGAAGAAGACGTGGTGGCCTGAGAGAGTGGTGATGAAATGGTTTGAAGAGAGGTTTAACTACGACTCGAAAACAAACTCGTGCGCATCGGGAGAGATGTGTGGTCATTACACGCAGCTCGTGTGGCGAGCCACGACAGCTGTTGGATGCGCACGTGTGAAATGTGATGGAGGTCGTGGGTTTCTTGTGGTGTGTGAATATAATCCATGTGGGAATTACGAAGGTGAAAGCCCTTTCGATCTAAACCAGTAAACGAGAGGTGTTTTAGAGACTGAAAACATGTTATTCTCTTTCTTGCATATATAAAGCCAAGAGGGGATTGATATTGTTCTTGGTGTGGTTAAGGCAAGTTTTAAGCTGATTAATATGGTGTCTCTATTTTGGTTGATATTGTAATGATAAAATATTCGAAATAAAAATGTCAGTACTCATCATAGTGAATCTTTCTTTTGTTCGTTTGTAAAAATCAATTATCACAATTTGAAGAAAAAACATGGATAAAGAACTTGTTTAAATACTTTTGAATTATCACGAGGTTTTGGATGGATCGGATATGTTTAAGTTTCTTTATCAAAACTCCAACATGTGATATTAGTTTATCACACATGTTACTCAGTCTTGTGATTTTATTTTTGGTTTTGCCTATGATACTTTTTCCAACTGAGATAGTAATACTTACTAATTAATATAGTCTTTCCCATCTTCATCTTCCTCTTCCTGAAATACAATTACAGTAGAAGAAAACACTTCTAATATTACCTGAATTGGTAGCTAGAAAGAGAGAGAGAGGTATAGATTTAGATGTAAATCTAGTAGTCTCAGTCCCATTCAAAATGATTAGGATTTTTTTCCTCAAAGATATATTTATAAATCAAATGCCATCAGTACAATGCCACAGTTTCCCATCACCATATATACAGCAAGAATCAACACCCACTACACCATGTACAACGAAGGAATAAGGAAGAGGTTAATCAAAAATATCACTGCCAAATAACCTGGTAAGCAAATAAGGATGACCTACAGAAGAAAAACACTTTTCGGCTATGAGAAAAGCTCCTTCATTAATAACTTTCACTTCCATCAATGTCTTTCACAGAAGAATTCTACTCAAAACGTTAAGTAAGATATTAGTGTCCACACAAAAAGATGGCCAAGCTCTGGTTCTCATCTGTTGGTCTTTCCAGGATATGCAGCCAGCTATGTAATTAACAGGATGAAAAATCCAAACAGAAACTATGGACCACTACTAATCGCTATGTTTATAAAATTTAATATGATATGCAAAATGAAAGACTCAAACCCCTGACTCCAAACAATGTTTTCTTTACCATCATCAATGCTACAAATGACTATATGAAAAGGCGGGAAAAGTCTCTACTCCTACTCAAACAATTTCAATCGTGCTAAATACAATACAAACAAATTGCCAGTGCCAATATGACATGAACTATGTTATCATTCAGAAAAACTACCTGAACTTTTTAAAACGTGCATAAACCTACATTGACCGTAACAGAAATTAGTCAACCATTAAAAATGATAAAACAACATCAGGCCTCAAACCCATGAACCCATGACTTGTCACTCATTAAAAGAGACACATCAACCACTAAACTAAAGACATTTTTGTAAATAATACTACAAATTTACAATTATATATGCTACTATATTTTTCATCTTCTCAAATTAAAACTTTGCTTATTATTATTTTTGATTCTTATAAATATATTAACATTTTTAATTGTTATATCTTTAATAAAATTATATTATAATAAAATATACAAAATTTACATATATAAATTATTTTAGATTTTTAAAACTTGAATGGTAATTTATTTTATTTTGGCAAAGTATATTCAACTTATATTAATTTTGAGAAACACAAAGAAATTAACATTCAATTTTTACAATTTTAAAATAATTAATATATGGACATTTTGTAAATAGTTGCAAAATATGAAATATATTTGCTTTTCTATAATTATAAATATTTTATTATTTATATTTTAGTATTTATAAGTTTATTAAATATGTAAATATATTTATAAGAACCAAAAATTATAATAACCAAAGTTTTAATTAGAAAAATGAAAAGTATAGTAACATATATAATTATAAATTTGTAGTATTAACTAAAAAAGTTGCTTTAGTCTAGTGGTTGATGTGTCTCTTTTAAAGAGTGACAAGGCGTGAGTTCGAGTTCCGAAATGTGCATATTTTATGAAAAAATAACGAAATCGAAACGACGTCGTTTCACCATTTTAGCGGTTGACTAACTTCTTTTACGGTCAATGTAGGTTTATGCATGTTTTAAAAAGTTCAAGTAGTTTTTTTTTAAATTATAACGTTGTTCATGTCGTATTTGGTACTGACAATTTGTTCGGATTATATTTGCACGATTGAAACTGTTTGGATATGAATAATCAATTTTCCCAGCAAAAGGCCAATAACAAGATATTACTCTCTCTATTTCATTTTAGTTGTTGTTTAGGTCAGTGCACACAAAAATTACAAAACTAGGTGTTTGCCACCAATTTTACGGGTAACTATATTATATGAAAAATATATATTATGTTTACACTGTTGTATTTTTAACTTATATTAAGAAATTTTAAATTTTAAATTTCAAATAGAAAATGAACCAAAAAGTTCAGTATATATATATAGAAATTCTGTGAGATTTAAAATAGTTAAACAACATAAACCTTTGTCATTAAAAATCTTTCTCTTACAGAAAGTAATATTATAATTAATTCAGATAATTAGTTGTATATTTATTTTATATTATATTTTAACACGTGAAAATCAGAAATATTCTAGTTTTCAAAAGAAAAAAAAAAGATAGTATTTTTTTTTTTGTGTAGCTCCAATAGGAGTAATATAATGTTGGTAGGTTTATCATGAAGATTTTTGTAAACATTTTTATGTAGGTTTTAAAAAACATAACAGTGATAATAATTTCTTAACTACAAATCTAATTCTTTTATATAAGAATATATAAACATTAATTTTCTTTTATAAAAACTGTTAAAGTATTTTATTTAAATATACATAAATAATTGATAAAAATGAGTTAATAACATATATTTTTTTCACAAATTCTGTAATAAGTAACCATAAATCATTATTTGTAATATCCCTTGAGTTATTTGGTATAATTTGTATTAATTATTTCTATAGTTACCTTTTATTTTTAGATCATCTTAAAGTAAATAACTATTAAATGTCAACAACCAATTAAATTATAATTATTTTAAAAATTTTACCTAATAACAACACATAAAAAAGTCATTTAAGTGACTTTTCAATTAATATATAATAGAATTTATTTCTATAAAGCTAAGGATTAATTTGATTAAGATAAATATGAAACATGAATTAAGAAAATGGTTAGTTTAAACAATCTCTCTCATAATTTTATCAAATCACACTTTCTCACTCATTTTTATTTAGTGTTTAACATAAAACTTAAATGACTTAACATATAATAATAATTTTAAATGAATTACTATATAATATAATTTTAAATCTATTACCAATTAATTATTTTAATTCATCTGTTTATACTAATAGGTGAATTAAATACTTTTTCTTGATTAATATAATTTTAAATGACTTACCATATAAATTTAATATTTAGTAAAAATATTTTATCATTTTTAAAAGTGATAACTCATCTGTGATATTGTATTATCATTGGAAAAGGATTGGAATTTGTCAAATTGTATATTTAAATGCTTTGAATTATTTGACACAGTTTAGAATATATATATATATATATATATTTATTTATAGTGATTGAG